CACCGCCACGGCGCGGCCCTCGACAGAGACGCGGCTACGAGCCGACTCTCCTATGCTGTACGACGGCCGCAGCTCGTGGCTGAGCCCCGGACCGAGATACAGACGCGGAATTCGGTGGCCCGACCCCGAGTGCGAGTCCGACTTACAGTGTGTCAGGTCGTGGCCTCGGTTTGGCGCCTTTTTGCCCGAAATTGGGTCAAAGCGGAGGCAAAATGTGCATTTCTGCGCGGAACTGAGTAGTTGTAGAGTCCTGGAATTTTTTGGTGACGGTTTGGTCAAATTTAGGCCAAAGATTGAGGTCAAAATGAGGTTAGGTGAGGTTAGGTGAGGTTAGGTCACGTGACGTTGAACAGAAATAAAGTCCCGACTTTGTTTGGTTATGGTTACGTCAAATTTAGGTCAAAGTTTGAGGTTAGGCGAGGTTAGGTCACGTGACATCCGATAACCGACTTTGAGGACTGCACTAAATCAGCTGAAGCACTCTGGAAATAATGTGCAGTGAGCGTCGCGGTACTTGAGCGCGCAACGGAATAGATTGTAATTACTGGGCGGCAACCGCCAGACTGATTCCGAGAGTCTCTGTCTCTCTCGCACCCACGGGGGGTGCCGTGTAGGTGCGAGAGAGACGGAGTAGCGACTCGGTCTGCAGGGCCTGTGTCTGGCCGGTGCGCTCCCCGCCGCCTTCAAGAAGGAGATAAACTGCGAGGCGGGGCCTTGGCGGCATGAACAAGCCGTTCGTATTATCTTGCGACTTCGGCACGACAAACCGACAAACCGGCAAGGCGGACAGGAAGCGAAAATGGGTGCCTTCGGGGCCGAAAGGTAAGTGAAAGCCGACCTAACCTCACCTTGCCACGCCACGCGGTTGGTTCAAAAAGTTCGAACCGTTTCGAGACTGTACTCTTTCGAAGCACTCTGACGCTCCTAACCTACCCAGAGTTCCCGCCAAATTTCCAGACGAAATTGCACGTTGCGCGGCAAAGTCTGGGCGCGCTTCAAAATGGCGCCAGCAACAAGATAAGCATGACGATACTAAATTGAATTGAGTCGACACGTCACGGCCGAAGCGATAAAGCTCGATTCGAGTTATCAACATGTTCCTCATTTTTCTTGCGCCGTTTTGTTTTCCTTTTGCTTTAGTGGAACTGGAGGGGGAATCTCGTGCGCGGGTCCGGTCGCGCGAAGTCGGACAGGGAAAAGCGAGGGTTAATTAAGTTGATGCATCTCGTTGGCGACGAACTTCCATCCGGTGTTTCCACATTCTCACTGGGATTGCACCACTTGTCGCTTTACTTTTTCGCTGACAGTGTGTCTCCTGCCGCTCGCCCCCGTGAGGTGCTGGGAGAGGGCAGGAGTGTCCGATGGGTTGCCTACCCCCCGTTCCACAGGCGCTCCCAGGCAGGCCCCGTGGGACAACACATGGCGCGTTCTGATTAACCGATTACCGAACTGCGACTCGCCCTTCGAGGGCGCTGCACTGTAGGGCCTGCAGGCCCTCCATCTGGCAACATGGCGCCCTATCCTGCCCTACCTCTGCAGGGCGTGCCCTACCTCTGGCTTATCGGGAAGGCGAAGCGCCCTACGAGACAAGCGGCACCGATCTTGGGTCAGGACTCTGTCTGTCTGTCTGTGTGTGTGTGTGTGTGTGTGTGTGTGTGTGTGTGTGTCTGCGTTTACGTCTAGCCGCATAAGCAATTCTGCTGAATCCATTTCACCGTCTGTGTCGTCAGAGATAACAGGACGCGGATCCCGTATATGTATACATTATGCTCGCCGCTTGTGACACTGTCACTTCAGGCTGCTGCCACAAACAATAAAATATACGTTTCCTTCTGGTAGTTTGTTGTTGTAGTCGAGTTTCTGAGAAGCGGCTGATTGATTTTGGCGTTTGGCAAAGTGGGGATAGCCCCACTTAAGCACAAGGAAAACAGATTGAAACGACATCATCAGGCAGGAGCAGCACCGTGGAGTGGGTCACCAGGTCGCTGACCCGTACAGTGTAGGCACTATCACAGAAAACAAACAGCACCTGCATTGTCAAATCGTCAAATTTCTCTCCCAGTGGCCGCGGAACTTTTGTCGATCAGCTGAGACTCACGTAAACAGCAATGCGTTTATTGGGTCGAGAGGGGCGTAGGGGGAGGGGGGGGGGGGGGGAGGGGGGGGAGTGCGAAGGAAATAAAATGGATTCGTTATCGCCAGGGCCGATAGCGCGGTCCACTGGCCTCCGCCTTACCTGCGCAGTGCAGTGCCGAGGCCGTATCCTGCAGTGCCAAAAGTCTCTCTCTCTCTCTCTCTCTCTTCTCTCTCTCTCTCTCTCTCTCTCTCTCTCTCCCTCCCTCTCGCACTCATGGGGCGTCCCGCAGGGGTGCGAGAGAGACAGACAAGCACTGCTCGCTCAAGACTAAGTGCGGGATGGCGCCGGCCGTGTCCGTGGTCAGGGGCGGAGGAGGGGGGGGGGGGCGGACGGGAGCGCGGCGGGGGCGGGGCACACAATGGTAATAGGCGCGTTTTCCTCGGCCAACACCTAAATTGAAACCGATCCCAATGACGTAATGTGCTTTGGGTGCGGTCACTTGCAGTGTGCAGGCGCTGCAGACGCGCTCAGCCAATCAGCATCGTCCGTCGGACAACAAAAGCGTCATTAGCCGAGACCGTTGCGCGCCGAGCGCCGGACCGAGAGGACCGCGGCTCGAACACGCGCGGAACGCCTTTTTCCCTCTGCGCGCCAGGAGTCGTGTGCCCGAGTGCATCGGAAAGCGGATTTAAGTCCAATAATTTGACGGTATGTGCATTTGACTCTTTGGAGTGCACGGCGGCTCATGAGGTCGACGTAGTTCCGACCGCAACAACGCCCCGCCGTTGGGTTCCGAATTGTGCGTCGCTGTCTCCCTCGCACCCCGACGGGGCCCACGCGGCGCGCCATGAGTGCGAGAGAGACAGAGCGATAGGCTGTCGGTCTATCTCCCTTCCTCCTGCACTCGGGACGAACTATAAGTGCGAGAGAGAGGCTGACCCTGTTGGCGCTTGTGGCTCTGCCACGCTCTGCTCCACTGGCCACACAACACCCACCGGGACAGGTACACGTCCAGTTCGTCTGGTGCACTGCAATTGCCGATGACGCAAACCATCCGATTGTGTCGCGGCCCAACCGGATAGCAGACCATCCATATCAGGAACCTTCAGGACCCGTGACCCGCTACTACTCGTTCGCGCCACGTCCTTCACGTCCTTCGCGGGTCGCCTTAAGGATTTCCATTTCCGACGCGATGGGTGAATGAAGGAACGAACGAACGGGCAAATGAATGAGTGGCCCAAGGAATGGATGAAGGTGAATTAATTTATTAATGGGCGAGTAGTGAATGGGCGAATGAACGAATGGTTGGATGAGTAAATGAATGACAGATGGCCGAATTAATTAAAAGATGAACGGATAAAAAAGTTCATCCCAATATAAATATTTTTCGAGTTAAAAGAGAGATGACACCAAACTAACCTGAGCCAACCTAACATAACCTAACCACGGCGGCCGGCCGGCCCTTGCAGTGCCACGGCTGTCCCACGGCTGGCCGATACCAACCAACCCATGACAGTTCGCCTCGCTATCTGCGAGCTCTGCGAGTCGGTTGTCAGCGTGTGAAACAAACCCTTATCTCGTTGGCATGGTTATTGGTTATGGGGGCGGCAAGCCACGGCAAGGGCTAGCCAGCCATGGCCTGCTCCATGCCATGCGGCCGCCAAGCCCGAACCGTCCGAGATGAGCCGAGCCGAGCCGAACCGAACCGAGCCGAGCCGAGCTGAACCGAGCCGAGCCGAGCCGAACCGAGCCCAGCCGAGCCCAGCCGAGCCGCAGGGCGGCGCCTCAAAGTCCCGACGGTGAACCAGAACTCAATGGCGCGAACTGGATTTCAAGTGTCCTGATAGTGAAAAGTCCCCCTGGCGCGCCAATACACGTGGCCAAGTCACGCAAAAAAAAAGGAAAAAGAAAAAAGAAGACACAGAAAAATACTAGCATGTTTCATGTTATACACGATGTTTGTGAATTAATTATTACGAGAGTTTACAAACGACCGACGAGTTCCCCGAACTCAAGTTCTGGCTTCACCACTTGGAAGTTGCCGAATTGACGAAACGCGCTTCGGAATCGCTCGGCTCGACAGATGCAGCCGATTCGGACGCATCATTCGCTTCGGGAAGGAATCAACAAGTGGGCCCGGTCGAGTGCGCGCGGGTCAGTGTGCGCCCAAATCTCGCTGTGTGTGTGTGTATGTGTGTGTGTGAGAGCGCGCTGCACCCAGAGTAACCGGCCCGTTTCAAACAATGTCTGCATAGGATTTTTTTTAAAAAAGGCGCGGTATCTTACGAAAATTAATGAACCAATGATTATTCATTCGCATTTAAATGGCCGCGCCTGCACTCCCTCGAAATAAATTAACCTGCCGCGTTTTTTCCCGCCTCAAATTTTTGTGTTTTTTACGTTGTTTTTTTTATTTTTTAAAATAATTACCCACAGCCGAAGCACCGCTCATTAAGTTCAGCAGAGGCGCCGGCGTCGGCCGAGGCTGGGGAACGGCTTCGAATCCCCAACTCGTTAAGATACCCATCGGGCCATCTTTCATTGTAGTTTCAGTTTTAAATCGTATTTCGGAAAACCAGGATTTTTAAAGGAACTGAGTTTCCCTCCTACCCTTTTGTCGCAGTGCACTGGTTCGAAAAGGTTTGACACTGCGTCAAAGGGTTTGGCAGTCCCGCCCTCTGCCTTAGTAGGCAACTTCCAAGAGCGAAGCCTTTGCCTAGTGGGCAGCATGCTGAGGTTGGCAAACCTTTGGGCACTGCTCCATCGAGGAAATTTTCGCCACCTCATGTGGCGACAACACTAATTGGTTGCATTGCTGTGCAATTGTCCTGACATGCGTGTGAATGTGACTGCAAGTGTTCCCAAGAGCTCATTTTGCCCCAATAGGCAATGAATCGAACGATCGAACGCCCCCTCGACTCACCGATGATCGATCTTCGGCTGCCTCTTCTTCTCCTCCGCCTCCTCCTCCTCCTCCTCCTGGTCCTTCCCCCTGTTCTTCACTGTCACTGACTTGTCACTGACTTGTCACTGGCGTGTCACTGGCGTGTCACTGCCGGGGGCCGGCCAGTCAAATGAGGCACTCGAAGTAGCAGGTGAATAACACTTTTGTCCGACCGTCTCGCATCACCATCATAGGCGGTTGGCGACGCTGGGCTAGGCCAGTGCGGGTGGCGGGCTGCTTGGTGGAGCCACGCACTCTGATGGACGTGGAGCACTTCGCGTGCACTTCGCGTGCACTTGCAGTGTGGAGGGCACAGGGCAGCGCGGTGCAGCCGGAGCACGAGGCGGTGGCGGCACAACTGGTGAGCTTGTCTGTCATTTTCCAAGATGAGGCGGAGCGGACTCGCACCCGCCGGCAGCCCCGGCAGCCCGGCAGCGGGGAGGGGGGCAGATAACAGTGGCGCGGAAGGGGGGGGGGGCGGAGGGGGCGCGCGGACCGGCGGCGGCGTCGCGGAGCGCGGACGCGCGGACGCTGCACGCGCGTGGACGGGCGTGCCCGTCGTGTCCACGGCGAAGGTGACTTCGTTTGATTTAGCGAATGTGGATTCGCGGCTGGTCGCTCTGTCTCACTCGCACCCCCTGCCCCCTGCGGGGCCGTCCGTGAGTGCGAGAGAGACAGACAGATTGACGCGATTGATCTTCTGTCGCAGGCCGGCTGCCGCGCTGCAGCGGCATGCGGTGCGAGCAGGGACTCCGGCTGATTCATTCGCAGTGACGTCAACTTGCGTGTTTTTAGTAGATTCCGCGTCGTGTGCTCTTTGTATCAGTTATCCCAGCAACAGCGTCGCTCAGTGACTTCTTGTTTAATTTTGGAGCTCAGGCTGGAGAAACATCGCGCGCGGCACAGCAGTCCTTTGAAGTAAGTGCGAGACGGCCTCAAGTTATCGCTCTGCGTTTCTAAAAGCGGGCAGTAAAGCGTGGAATTTGGATTAGTTTGGACGCGGTGCCTGCCCGGCGCGTGCTCAGTGTGCTCAGCCACGGCGCAGCCTTTCCAGACCGTAGACCGTGGATCTTGGGAAACCCCGCCGTTTCCTGCAGGACTGCTCCAAACAACAACACCCGGTTTTTTCCTTATGCGCTTTCCCCTCAAGCCCCATTTGTTTGCCGCCAAGTAGGCGAAAATTCCCACGAAGCACGCGTGTCGGAAGGGTTGCCTACCTCCTCGAGAGCAGAGCCCAATGCCTAGTAGGCAGGCTGAGGTTGGCAACCCTCCGACACTGGTGTACCGAGCAGTGTGGCCACACTGCACGGTGGGACACAAGACCGGTGGGGGCGGACTAAACTCTAGACGCGTTTTGAGCTCCAGAGTCGCGAAACAGGCCTCCAACCGAACGTGTGACCCCAGCAATGGATTCCTCGTTCGGAGAGCTCCATTGGTGGGGTCACACGTTCGGTTGGAGGCCTGAGGCCTGTTTCGTGACTCTGGAGCTCAAAACGCGTCTCGAGTTTTGACCGCCTTCACCGGTCTCCTGGCCCACTGTGCACTGTGTGCGACCTCTCGATGCCTCTCAACAAGCCGCTGGGTCGATTCGTTAGAGAGTCGCTCTCTAGTTGGCTTTGCCATCATATTCCCCCATGTTGCCATTGTGCTTTCCCCGCTTCCTTTTTGCATGCTTTTATCCTTTCATTAGCCAAGAGCCCCGCGCCAGCGCGCCAGTCGGTTAAGTCCGAACACCGCTTCGGTCGCTCTGTCTCTCTCGCACGCGTGGGGCGTGCCGAAGGGCCGTAGGGGTGCGAGGGAGACAGAGCGACGAAGCAGTGTTTCGGAATCGGGCCACTGCGCCCCAGCGGTCCCAGCGTCACGCGTTCAGGAAGTAGGCAGGCCTGAGGCAAGCAAGGGGGCACAACGCACAGTGGGCCAGAAGACCGGTGGAGGCGGACAAAACTCTAGACGCGTTTTGAGCTCCAGACTCGCTAAATGGGACTCGAACCGAACGTGTGACCCCACCAATGGATTGCTCTCCGAACGAGGAATCCATTGGTGGGGGTCACACGTTCGGTCCGAGGCCCCTTTAGCGACTCTTGAACTCAAAACGCGTCCGGAGTTTTGTCCGCCTCCACCGGTCTTCTGGCCCACTGTGCAACGCTTGCAGGCCGATTCCGCACAGTGAGCCTCCTCTATCCGCCCTTCTCGCACCCCTCCAGAGAAGCGCCGCGTAAGAGAGACAGAGCGACGAAAGCATGCTCGGACTCTGCCTTCGGTCGGACTTGAGAAGAAACCTGTTCTGGGTTCGTAATTGAACCTGCACCTCTCTGTTATGCTGTCATCCGGTAAAATGGATTTGTTTCTTTATCGTCGCGATTGCTGAACTGTTTCGCGGCGTCACAGTGCCGGACTCCTCCCTCGCTCCTCTTATTCTGGACTACTCGCAGATGGCGACCCAAGGCCTCGCACTGGGGCCAGCGGCTTTTTCCTATTTTTGAACAATCTATCTATCTACTGTTGACGCAAGACCGTTCTAGAATGTCACCCACCCGCCCCCCAGTTTGTTTAGCGTACACAAACAGAAACAGTATCCCTCTGTGTGAAGACAGAAACTTCGCGGCGAAGATTGTCGTACCTGCCTGCAATAAGAATGCTTAACCTATTGAACGAGGAAGCAGAGCGACCAATGGGAACACGCCGTCAGTCCGAAGTGCGAAACCGTTTCGATGCCGTCTTTTGTCTCTGTCCCTCTGCAGCGGCGAGAAGACCGGGCGGCCAAAATTCTACACCCGTTTTGAGCTCCAGAGTCGCCAAATGGGACTCGAACCGAACGTGTGACCCCACCAATGGATTGCTCTCCGAACGAGGAATCCATTGGTGGGGGTCACACGTTCGGTTCGAGGCCTGTTCAGCGACTCTGGAGCTCTGCACGCGTCTCTGGCCTCGCAAATCCACTGCGCGACGGAGGCCTTGGGCATGGCGACCAATGGTGACAAGGCGAGCACTCGGGGACGACTTTAGACGCACTTGGAGTGGCGAATGGCCGAATGGGTATGGCGAGATGGAGCCCTCTTCGCTGTCGTCGCTGTCTGTCTCTCTCGCACTCACGGGGCGCCGCGCCTAGGTGCGAGGGAGACAGACGAAGTGACGTCGGAGTCGCACAAAACAATGCCTTGGCCTGCCGCTCGGATCAAGTGGACTGCACACCCACACTGTGGGCCACACAGTGAGCCACACTGCCTCACTGCCAAGGGCTCCGACAAGCGGTTTCATCCCATTCGTTAAAAAAAAATTCAAGTGGTCATTACCATTTTAAAACGCGGTGATGCATGGTAATGGACGAACTCGCCGAGACGCCCACAACATGAGCAAACACGAGCAGCAGACTCATTCCGAGTCGTCGCTCTGTCTCTCTCGCACTCGTGGAGCGTCCCGTGTGAGTGCGAGAGAGACAGAGCGACGAAAACGACTCTCGGAGTGTGTCTGCAGGTGTCGCTCCGGGCGGCAGAGGCGAGACATGAACCATTCGATTGGAGCGACGGCCGCAATGAGGGGCGTGAGGCGGCGCGTGGCGTGGCTCGTCGGCGGTCGCACAGTGGGCCAGAAGACCGGTGGGGGCGGATAAAACCCCGGACGCGTTTTGAGCTCCAGAGTCGCTGAATGGGACTCGAACCGAACGTGTGACCCCACCGGATTCCTCGTGCGGAGAGCAATCCATTGGTGGGGCCACACGCTCGATTTGAGTCCCATTTAGCGACTCTGGAGCTCAAAACGCGTCCGGAGTTTTGGCCGCCTCCACCCGTCTTCTGGCCCACTGTGGGTCGAGTCGGGGCGTCCTGCGGTCCTGCATGTCGGACGAGACGAGACGTGTCAAACGATTCGACGAGGAAAGATGAAGAGGCACAGAGGCTGCGACAAAGGGGCTGAGAGTGACAGCCTCTCGACCGGCACACTGAGAGTCGTTATCGTCGCTCTGTCTCTCTCGCACCTACCCGGGACGCCCCATGAGTGCGAGAGAGACAGAGCGATGAAATGGACGCCGGTAATCAGTCTGGAGTGACACAGGGACACGCCGCCGATGTGATTAACGCGTCGCCGACGACGATTCGTTCGCCGCACAGTGGGCCAGAAGACCGTTGGAGGCGGCCAAAATTCCAGACGCGTTTTGAGCTCCAGAGTCGCTAAATGGGGCTCGAACCGAACGTGTGACCCCACCAATGGATTGCTCTCCGAACGAGGAATTCATTGGTGGGGTCACACGTTCGGTTCGAGTCCTGGTTTGCGACTCAGGAGCTCAAAACGCGTCTAGACTTTTAGCCGCCTCCGCCGGTCTTCTGGCCCACTGTGCGCCGGTCTCCCGTCTCTCTAGTGCCGGGCCGACATTGAACCTGTCGTATCAAATTTGCGCAAGCCGCTCGCCCGAACCGAATGAGCGAGAGAGACATAGAGACTGAACTCCCGTTTGGAATCCGCTACACTCTACACGCAACCGCTGGCCAGCACGGATAAGATACGTGCGTCGCCCGTCAGCGTCGCGGGAAATGAGTCGAAAATATCCTCCCTGCTTCGTTTGCCGCAGGAGTGGTCAAACACGCGCAGACAGACAGACAGACGGGCAGACAGACAGGCTGTCCCACTGAGCGACACAGCGAGCGGCGAAAAGGGAGCAAAAAAGATAAGGAATCGTAATTAGGATCATCCCGGCAGCGGGATCCCCGGCAAATATTGACGGGCGCGGGCAAAACTGTCATCGCCTAGCCGCTCCGTCTCTCTCGCACCGCAAGGGCCCCTCGGGACGCTGCGCGAGTGCGACAGAGACACGGAATCCGCCTGTGCAGGATGGCAGACGCGGCAGACACGCTCGCCTGGCGGATAGCGCTTTGTTATCGGGCCCGCTTTAATAATAGAACGCGGGCTAGCCGCGGTTTAACTCTTTCGTACTTTCTGCTCGTCGGGAGCGTGGCTTCCTCGCGGCCCGAGGACAGAGAGGCAAGCGAGCTGTTCGTGGTGCTGCTTAGCGAGCGGTGGCTCCGACCGCCGTTCCTGGTAGGCGACGGGCACGCTCGCGTGGCGAACGGGTTGCCTCTAGCGCTGTCGTCAGGCGGCGCGGCGTGCGCTCCGCTCTGTGCGTCATAAGACCGATGCAAGCGGTCAAAATCCCGGACGCGTTTTGAGCTCCAGAGTCGCTAAACAGGACTCGAACCGGACGCGTGACCCCACCAATGGATTGCTCTCCGAACGAGGAGTCCGTTGGTGGGGTCACACGTTCGGTTCTAGGCCTATTTAATTTGGCCACCTCCACCGGCCCACTGTGCTCTGTCACTCTGTGTGTGAATCAGATTGAGATGGGGTGTGGGGGACAGACGATCACAAATTCATGGTTTCTTTACTATTTTAATGTAAAAATAGGCATCCCACATTCCATTTCTTTAAAACAGTTAAGAAATAGTTTACCAGTACAAAGCTTTGCATGGTCCCCATCTAAAATTAACACAACTTCTCTTTTCATTAAAACAAAAAGAATTACAGCAATCATGTAAGCATAGCGAAACCTCGCTAACCAAAACTTCTAGAAAAACAGTATCTTTCATGTATTTACCGCGAATGAACTTAAAGTGACATTCATGAGTTTGATCTTGGCCAAATCAAGGTTACAGAGGTAGGTTCACCTGTAAGTATAATGCTGCAACAAAGAATACATAATGTACACTAAAAAAGAAATTGATGAGGTAGAATTAAAGAGATACTCAGCACATCACTCAAATACAATAAATACAGTGTAATATCACAATCAATAAAAGATAACTTTACAATTATTAACAAGAAGTTGAGGTACTAACTCTGTCCTGCAACTTATTAAATAATAACTTCTCCAAGAGATACAAGAAAAGTACACTTCAATATTGGTATCTTTTAAGGATCTTTTACCCTAAGGTATAATGCTTTATAAGTTATTGTTTATACACAAACTAAGTAAACCAAGTAAAAATTAACAGCACTGCTTATACAAAACTGATTGACGTGCTGAGAACTTTTACCGAAATAAGTCTAGACTTTGAAAGAGAGAAACTCTCAATCTGTAACAAAATTAACTACTGAAAATTGAGGCAGCACAGATTGTAAGAGAGAGAATGGGACATGCACCTAGTCTGTGCTCCCACAATTTTCAAAAAGAAAAAAACAAAAACCAAACAGTAAAAAGGAGAGCACCAGAAGATCGAGGCAGTACTGTTAACAACAAACTTTTCCCCGCTGAAAATGCAACTAAGCGCATCTGTTGCACAATTTTATTACAGTGTACACAGCAATTGATAAATAAAATTTTAAGAATGAAAAGATGAAACAATACTCATTAAAATGAAAAAGGGAGTACAGCTATTCTTCAAGTTTCTCCACAGTAATTTATCAAATGCTGTGAGATGAGTCTGCAAACCAGGTTCACAAACTGACTTTGAGTCTTTCATCCAGAATAAATTATTATGTATAAATAAGTTCGAGCACAAGCAGGAGCTGCATGTATGATTTGTGTGTGATCAATTACTTATTATTATTAAATTTATGTAAAGCCAAACGCGTTCAGTACCGATCACACAACAGAACTATATAGGATCTTCATTCACAACCAGTAAAATTAAGTTGCAAAGAACACAAAATAAATTATTTGTAGAGGTATCTACAATGAACTGTAACAAACAGCAAATCAGTCTTATTCAGAAGAACACCACAGTGAGTAGTGAAGTCTCTAAAAAGCTAATTGAACGTAGAAAGGACTTCATACCCTTTTTGGAACAAATGGTCTTTGAGTCTGACACATATACATACAATATGTATGACATACAATGTGTAAGAAAGAAGGATAGAATATACAAATACACAAAAAAGATGGACGTTTGTAAGCAATAACAATGCCTCAGCCTTCAAGATCTTCAAGCTTCACCTTGTCTTCTGATCTTCTTTCAGTTTCCACAGAATCAATTCCAGGGCTGCAACAGCATCCTCCTTGCTGTCATGTCCTCCAACTAGATGATGAAGAGAGTTGAATAGATTACAAATAAGTAAAAATGGGGCAGGGGGGCAGAAGGTGTAGAGACTTACCGTCATTTTGAATTATCTTTTTGAGATATTCTCCTGCTAGATTCCGTAATGCTCGCTTTTTGGGTGGACCCATTTTATGAGGAAACACCACACTAGAATCTACTACAGTGGGATGAATTAGCTGTAAGTCAAACATGAGTTGAATAAATGGCATGCAATTATTGTTTAATCATTACCTATTATCAATTTAATGACAACAAATACCTTCAGTGCTTTTAAATCAGACTCCAAACTATGACCAACAAGTATGGTTTTATCACAGAACATTCCTAGAAGTGTTGCCTGCACTTGTAAAATAGATGTAGTAACACCTTTGAGGTCTTCCTCTGTAATTCCACTAAACCTGAAAAATAAAGGACAACAATTACACGATGGTAAATTTATTAATTTATGAGATTCAAGACAGAAAGGAGAGGGATTGAATTAAATACCTTGTGTTGTAATCCAAGATTTTATTAGCAGGCTTGACAAGAGTTTCGTATGCAACACTTAGATCCTCTTTAATAACAGTAACTCTTGTGAGCTCAATACCAGCAGTAGTATAACACATTTCACAATCAAGTGCATAAATCCCAGGGTTCGACTCCATGTGTGGCTTTGATAAAGTTGACATGTATCCAGAGTTTTTATCCCAGTTTTGTTCAAACACATGGTATGGTGCTATGGAACAGCCACTGCCAGTACCATCACAGCAAGTGTATTTGGTTTCTGCTTCCCGAAATCCTGGAATCAATACAGATGCCATGAAGCAAGTTTACAAGTGATAAATTGGTAGATAACAAGAAAAAACAAATCATCATTCATCACGAAACCCACTTTTAAACTTTCTGCCCCAGTGGTAGAAGCATTCTTCATCTTTTACTTGTTCCCCATGTTTATTAACTGAGTAAGGCTTTAAACACCGAACACATATTTTTTGTCGAGGGTCAGACGGCTGATGGATAACCCGGAAGGAGCTTGGCTTCATAGTAGCTACACCCTTCTCGCTACTTGGCATGGGGAAACCATTTTCTTCTAATTGTTCCTTAGTCAAAATATAGGGTTTCATCTGTTCATATAAATTTAAATCTGTAAATAAAAAGAGAAGAAAATAAGCTCACAATTTTGAACGGAGTATGTAAAGAAAAGGTAATGAAAGTACTGCAACTCGATACTAACGTGGCTTTGGCTCCGTTTCTTTCTTTCCTGATTGTATACTCCAAGACACTCTGGACCCCAGTTTTCCTGCTATCATGGCATTGTGTGAAACAACTCGATTAGGAATTCCTGACATCCCTTCCACTGAAACAAAACAATAAAACTGATCAGTTTTGTTCCATTCATAAGAAAAAAACACTCAAAATCTTATTAATTTCTAAACAAAAATATCTTACTTTTAGGTCCATTTTGAGATGATTCAGCACAAGCCCTCAGATCCTTTAATGTTTGGATTATGCGGTGACTATATACTCCGAGCGACTCAGTTCCTTGAGTACTGGACTTTTCAGATTCCAAAGCCTTTTGAAAAGAATAATCTACTTGGTTACTTTTGTTGATATTTCAAATATGATGAAAGAGAACAGAGCACCTACCATATCATGGGAAGCCTCACCAAATCCAGCATCAATGTAAGCTTGGAAAAGTTTGTTTACATTTGCTTGTCGAGTAGCTACCTTGAACTTTCGGCAATCACTGGGATTCACAATGGGCTTACGCATTGCAGGAGCATCCTGAAATAATTCAAATGGTGCGATTGTTAATTTTGTTTTGAAAGAAAACATTGGAATATGCAGGTCTGAGGGCAAGCCCTGTACATCTAATTGATAGTTGACACAATGGGGGGAAAAGAATTCCTTACCATATTTGGTGCATGGGCTACTCTAACTTTCACTAAACGACCATATTCATCCACACGCTGACTTGTTTTGTCATAAAATCGACTTGGTGAAGTACCAGTTGCTTTAGGTGTACTTGAAGTTTTCAATGTGGTTGGAGGCTTAAGAAGCATGGCAACATTAGACACCCCAGCAATTTTTTTCTTTGCAGGTGCTAGACAGAGTAAACAGAGAAAATTGAATTAAGTAAACAAATTTAACTTTGACACAAGCTTGTCTTTTCCTTTGCCCAAAACTTACGACACAACTTCGACAGCACTCACCACTTGTTGAAGTCGGCAGAGATGCTTGTGGAGCGTTAGTTGAGGAATAAGGGGCAGGTGCAGACGGTCGGGGCACAGAAGCAGGAGCAACAGCTAAGGACGCCTTCAACTCTAAAGATTGCATTTTCTCTTTCTTGAGCATTTCCCAGCGATCTCTCATAACCTGTAAGCAAAACAAAAACAAAATCCATGAGTAAGATTGTTTTAAAATTATTTGAACCAATGTCACATTTTTGCATACCTGATATGGAGAGGACTTTTTCGCTAGAGTAGGAACTGGTTTGGCACTTGGTTGCGAAGACGAATGGGATGCTTGATGTGCTATCCTTTTTTTGCTTGTTGCTGAGGGTGCTGGTTCATCATTTACAGTTACCCTTTGATCCTCTGTTGAAAAGAGAGCGGGTTGGTTTTGCATTGTTTCTGAGAATTCGCTGAACATTTCGTAGCATTGCTGCTCAATCATGTCTTCATCTTCCAGGGATGCATCTAGTTCGACTTCTATTTTCCTTATTTCCTCCTCCAGCTTTACTCTCTGAATCTCTTGCTGCCCTGTAAATCAACAAAATTTAGAATTCACAAAAACAACCAAAAAATAAAAGACGATGAATTAATAATTTACAATAAGTCATTAGAAATCACCTCTTTCTTCAGCAGATCGATGGGATGATTTTTTGCTGTGCTTGCTTTTACTGTGATCTTTATCCTTTCCTCTTTCTTTGTCTTTCCCTCGGTCTTTATCTTTTTCTCTGTCCTTCTCTTTATCCTTCTCTTTTTCACGATGCTTGTCTTTGTGTTTCGAACTTGAGCTAGATGAACTACTTTTACTTTTTGATTCTGATGAATGGCTTTTCTTAGCTTCACTACTAGAGGATGTCTTCGATGATGATGATTTTGATGATGAAGTTTTAGAAGAAGAGGAGGAAGAGGATTTACTTTTACTGCTACTACTGCTGCTACTGCTCTTTTTACTATGACTGCTGCTACTGGAACTCTTTTTCGAACTTGATGATGAAGATGACTTTTCACTGTGCCCATTTTTGTCTGAACTTCCATGCGACACTTTTGGCTTCTTACTTTCATTACCAGAACTCACACTGCTACTTCTTCGTTTTTCACCTTTATGAGAACTGCTACTACTGTTATGACTTGATTCTGCCTCTTTGGGTACCTTAGTTTTATTACTGTCACAGCTGGGCTTCAAATTTTCTTCTGTATCTATATTCATGGATGCATTATCATCACCATTTTCTTCAAAGTCCAATTCTAAATTGTCCAGTTCAGACAAATCAAGATCTATCAAGCTCTCTCCACCACTTGGGTCCCCGTTTAACTGTGCAGCTGTCTCTGCTGCTAGGTCCACATCGTCATCATCTGATAGCTGAGACTCTTGAAGACTGTACGTTGGGTTGTCCTTTACTTTGGAAGGTACATATTCGGGTGAGTATGGAGAATATGATGAATTCTCAGGTGCATAAGAATAGCCTGTCCCAATGGGTTCAACATCATTTGGACTGTATTGAGCACCTTCTGGTCCATACATCTCGTAAAGTGGGTTCTTGAGGGGATCCGCTGAAGAGGAACTTGAGGTTTGGGAATTGAGGCTGCTGATTGATGTTGGGCAGTAAGTTGGATAGGAAGGTCGACTTGTCCCAACATGATGTGGGACATACTCTGAACTGGGTTTACTCTTTTTAACAGCAGCACTTCTAGTAGGAACACTGTAAAGAAAGAATTTTTGTCTTTAACAGCAGGTTTAGAAGACATGAATTTCAATTTGAGACAATGTCAATTCTTAGTTAACTGAGAGACTACTTACGTAGGGGTGTAAGGAATAGGTATGTGAGATGATTTTAATTGAGAAATTGGAGTAGGATTGTATGCAGGTGCCGCATCAACAATTGCTTTGTACATCGCAGCTCGACTTCTATGGGAGGATTCACTGCTTGTCCCAGCCACGGCTTCATCTTCATTCTGAACGGAATCATTTCATATAAATAAGGACACATTAAAAAGTCAAAGAAAGAGGTGTTTGTCGAAAGGCCAGTTACCTGCTCCTGAGCCGTGTTGGCCACTGACCCCAATACATTGTCTTCAGTAGTGGCATTGACATCTGCACAAGAGAGTTTGTAAGTTGCACAACATGTTGATTTGTAAAATGCATAGAGAAACTGATAGGTTATGATGGGTTGGGAGACAAGTTCAAGACGCAACACCAGCTGAGCTTAACGGTACAAGTGAATTGAACATAGCGGGTGTACGTTGAAGCCAATTGAATGAACGTTTTCTGACGTTGCTCCACTTGTCACTGACAGGGACAATGGGCAGATAGGGTGATCCTCTGACAGGGGAGGACTAGGACGACCCACTAAGGGCATTCCACACGATGAGACACACTGTAGAGAGTGCCGCCCCACTATTTCGCACAGCTCCTCACCTCTTTTTCCATGCCTATAATGACAATAGGGTCGTGAACACTGTCCGGCCCCTCCGTTGTAAAAAGGACACTCCAGCGTCCTGAAGCATCCCAGCGATGGAAGCATTTTGGATTGGGGGCACCATAAGCAACAATTTGGCTGGCTCTTGGCTGGCAGCGGGATTAACTATAAGACTTGTGAAACAAACCGGGATCATAGACAAACACAGAGAGGAAGGGGAAAAGAGACAGGATTTAACCCCACAACATTTTAGATCCTTGTTTACGGTCGGCAGAGGCCGTGTCAAGCCGCCAGGTTTTTCTCCGTACCGCACTTGTACTAACGCACAGAGGGGGCTTGCGTGAGGCTACCACTATGAGAAATTTACGACTAGTTTTTATGTTTTTCGAAAACTCAAAACAACAGCAACAGCACAGTTCACTTTTCTTGTCAGTTTTAATGCTCATGCCAAAAAGGACGATGGATCCGAAATTATATCCTCTTTCGTGCGCAAATCGATGCAAGCATTGCACTCGTGTGGCAAGACATACATTTCATCCCCCTGTTGTCATGGCAACAGATAGAATGTCAAACCATAACATAACCACATCACATTGGTGTCAACATGGTTGTATCATCGCTAGTGAATGACTTGTGGAAAACAGAAAAATGTAATGAATGGAATGTTTTGGAAGTGACAGCCCAGCTTCCTCTGGTCTGAGGCCTTTCTCCAGAGCACTAATTTTGGTGTTGTTGGAAGCATCTTTTAAAGACACGTTGTAAATCGTTTGCTGAGTTTAGTTTTTCCCTGGCATCAACCTGCATATTCTTGCATCAATCTTTGCTGGTTCACCATGCCAGCTGACGAGAGAAAGTCTTTCATTCTTACAACTTCTGGTATTACTTGTTCCTAGCTTTACCCTTTCTTGCGACATGTCATTGCTACAATGCTGTAATCTTGCGTCCTGTGTTCCAGCTAACTACTTCAGTAGGTCTGTCTCGGAGTCTGAGCTCTTAACACTAAGTGCCGATAACACTCTGAATAAATTCTTAGATGACAGACATTGTTTTACATTAATTGTGGAACGAAGAGAAAATGGATTCAGCTTCAGTGAACAGGTCTGTTTTGTATTGGTAGGTGTTTTTTTCTCTCCAAAAGCACAGATTCTTATATTGACTGGTTTCAGATTTTGCCAGGGGACAAGGCAGCTTTGGTGTTCTTCAAACTGCGACCTGATGTTGTTACACCACAAAACATGCTCAGCAATGTTCTTGTTTCTTCAATGCTTGATTCTCCAGCATCAGTTTTGTATCATTCATTACAAAAATTATATGCACCCGTTCTTTTAAAGGTGAGTCCTGATTTCATGGGAGCTCAGCATCTACTGAGACCCACAAGGCATCATAGTGTGTTCACTTCTTGAGGGCTAAACACACAGGTGCATCTTTTCTCAGTGCAGAATACTTATACACTTGAAATTTCCAGAATTTTCAGGGAGACGATAGCATTGACCCAAAACTGCAGGATCTATTAAGTCAGTTGGAAGCAAACCTTCGGTCAGCTCTTAATAGAAACAACAGGATTGAGAAAGGAACTGGTGATGCTGAACCTAATGTGGATGGTAACCCAAAATAAAACATGCAACATGCATTACCTACTTGAATAGATAATTCATTCTATGATTTTACAATAACTTTGTATTATTGTTCTTGATGCAGTCATAATTACTCCTGAAGATGAGCTGCAGTACTGGGCCTCCTTGGCTAAATCATCCCCCAAGGGAAAGGAATCTATGAAAGCTTCTGCTTTCCTCTCTATGCTTCAGCCATTGGTTCAAGATCTACAGTATGAGAGCATTCACTGAATCACATCAACTAAACTAAATTAACTGTGACTAAGGGTCTTTATTTTGTTTATTAATGGCAGATCTTCAGATTCACTGACATCGTTTGAGGAAAGCTTGGAGACAGCTCATAATGCCTTGGATGATATCTGGAAACTTGATGAATTTCGTTATCCCCAAAAGAGGATGGAAAATTTAATGGAAGTTATTGGTAAGTAATGCCATCAATTTTTTTTTCTTTGTTCCCTAACAGTTTGTCTTATGACAGTTTTTTTTTTCAGGCAATGCAATAACCCAATTTATACAAACTAGATTGCATGACATAAACTTGTGGGAGTCTCCATTTAATATAGTTGAAGAAAATTTAAGCCAAGTAAATATTTTTTCATGTTTTTCATCTCAGGCACATGATTTTATTTGATGTAAAGGTGTCTCAATGTACTTTGTCTTTTTCTTAGAGTGTTGCTGTGTGTGAGAAATGGATTGATACATGCCAAAAGCTTACTACTCTGTTTTGGCCCAACCATTCACTTCATGCTTGGAGTGGAAAACCATATGTTCCCAAACATATACAGTCCTTTTCGAAACGTTTAAGTGAAGTGAAGGAAATTAGAACCCTCCACCGCCAACTTACAAGGCTGCTTTCACGTCAAGAGCAGGAGGAGTTGAACACAAAGAAAACTTTTCAGCCTTTCCAAGGGATCAGTCCTCTTCTGGTAAAAAAAAATCTCTCTTGATCATGAGTTGATTTTTGTTTGAATGTTTTCAATTTCATCCATACCTATTTTTCAGGTTAATCCTTACACTGAGCCCCTGTGGAGAGCTGCCGTGAACCAATTTCAACAGAGCTTGCACCCCACGGAAGAGAGGGTTGCCTCAAAATTAAAACTACAGCTCCGTAGTGTAAATGCCAACACATTGCAGGTGTTTTTTGTACTTCTTTATGTAAACCATTCATTAACAAATTTCTTCTAGTGTACTAACAATTTTTTTATTTATTAAAAAAAAAATTAAAGTTACTTCAAGAGTTTAAGCGGTACCAGGTGCTCATTGAACTTGACAGCGTAAAAAGAACACTAGTTCCAGAAAGAGAAAACCTTCTGAGTTTGCTTTTGGAGTATGTCCACAATACAGCCTCAAATTTCAGTGCAGGACCCAAAGGGAATGAATCATTGGATTTGCCTCCAGTAGTGAGCAACATTTATTGGGCACGCCAATTGGAGTACAAGGTGGGTGGGTGGGTGATTGAAAAATGGATTCTGTTACCTCCTTGTTTTTCCAAGTGGTTAAAAATCAGCTTTTTTTTTTCAGCTTGCTGAAATTGAAAAAACAAGTTCTAAAATCTTGAGTGATTTGAGTGCCTTTGGTGATCTTCTGCGGTCTTTGAGTTCTCTGAGTAAAGAAGTGCAAGAATACCGCAGTCAGCAATGGGAAATTTGGCTTGATGACACACGAGCTGCAGTATCGTCAAAACAGTTGAGGTCAATAAGTAAAATCTGAAAAGTAATGTGAATTTAAAAAAAAAAAATTTTTTGTACCTTTGTTACTGAAGGGATGCTGTTCCTCCTCTTTAGTCTTAGGACTGGTGAGCCCGTTGTTCATTTTGAACAAGGGAAGCTGATGCATGTGAACTACAACCCGGAACTGGTAGGACTGATTCGAGAAGTTCGCCACCTTGCTCTCCTTGGCTACAAAATTCCTATGGCTATTTTAGAGGCTGCTGATTTAGCAAAGCAGTTCATGCGACAAGCGAAATCTCTTCAGCAAGTATGGAAATTTACTTGTTGTGTTTATTTAGTTTACATAAGCAGACTATTTTTGAAATGTGAAGTTAATGATTACTCATTATTTTCCAGGTGGCCAATTTTCATAATACTATTGGAGATCGCATGATTGCATCCCAGCGCCCAATGATGCTCTCAACTGCGTTAGAACTGTCACGATTGGTTCAAGAGCAATCAAGTGTCACATGGACTAACACTGCTGCTGTTGATGCATATATTAATAAGTTGCAGGTAGTTGTGCAGAAACTGGCCAGGGAAAACAATAAGCTTGCAGCTTATCATTCACAAATCTCAGATAAGGTGTGTGTGGGTTCTGTTCACTTATTAATTCCATTGGATCAGCAATCTCTCTGTAGATCAACTATATACCTCCAACATTCCTTATACAGGTGATTTCATTACTAGATACGGATCTTTTAAGGCAACAGCAGCAGTGGAAAGAAGTATTGAAAGAAATAAGGGGTACAATGACACTTGTAGAACAAGAGGTAAAGATGATCATTTCAATTTCCAGCAAATTCTATGAATCAGATTCATAATAATACTTATTCATTGATTGCATATGCCACAGTTTAGCAACATGCGATCATGGCGCCTCCACTGGGACCACCAACTGTACAAGTCTCTTGAATACCAATATCAAATAGGACTGGAAAACTTGAACCAGCACCTTGCTGAAATACCAGTTGAGCTAGTGTACAGGTATGACAGTTTTCCCAAAAAGATATTTCTAGTTTAAATTGAGTAATCTTTTTGTTGAACATGGCAACTTTTGATTTACAGGCAGCAAATACTTCAATTTCGACCGCCATTGGAAGAAATACGCATGAAATATTATGGACAGCTAAAACGATATTTAAATATTCCAAATGTTTTCAGAGGTGTCTCAGATACAGGGGAAAACTCTATTTTTCCCGTGATGATTGAAAGGTCTGATCACATTTTGTGGGTAATATTTGTGATTCAATTTGATGTTATCCTTTTATAACTTTTCATTGTACAGGAATGCCCACCGTTTTGCTGATGTGTTTGCAAAGGCAGAGGAGTTATTTGGTCGGCTTGAAGCATTAAGGGATCGCTGGATTCCTTGGGTAGCTCTTGGGGCTGCACCATTGGAGCAGTTAGTTCAAGAGCACCTCAAGTCGTGGCAGGATTGGGACAACAATTTTAAGGCATCCAAAACTTGGGGACAGCAAATTGCAAAGTTACCCAGGTATAGCTTCAAATTTCATCATGATTGTTTACATACAAAATTTCAAACTAATGAAAGAATTATTGTTATTGCAGCTCTGATGAGAAATTGGAGTGCTTCAGCATCTCATTAGCACCCGTGAGGGCGGAAATTGATCTACAAAATCGTCACTATTGGGACACGTTGACAAGCTCACTCCAAACTTCCATCATAACTGAAGCAGTAGCTGTGGAGAAGTTTATCACAGATTCCACTGACGCTCTATCAAAACAACCCCGCACTGTTGACGAAATAGGAGAGGCTAAAGCAGTATACACTGAGATAATCGATAAATCTTCAAAGGTGAGAGCATAGTCATAGTACTTAATGCCATATAATTGATGTATGTATGTTACTCGTAATGTTTTGTTCTTTATGGGTTATTGTGCTTGACAGATGATGGCTAATTTGGAGGAACTGCAGAACAAAAATAAAACTTTGGCGAGCTGGACCAAAGAAAGGGTGGACCAGGTTGTTCGTGTGACTCGCAATTGGGACAATTTTCAATCCCTCTTGAGTAATCACCAGGTCTTCTTGGAACAGCAGGTAGCAAATGGACCTTCATTTCTAGACAATCTTTCCAAAAGCTGGTTGAATGTAATAAAAATAGTTTCATTTCTTTTCACGCTATTTATTTAGGTGGAAGGAATAAAGAACACTATAAAAAGTCAAGTGGATGGCTTTGAAGAGGAACTTGAGAATTTCAGCTTGAGATGGGAACAACTAAAGCCTCGTGAAACAAGTTTGTTGGATGGTGGCCCACAGATGCTTGTTCAAAGTCTTGCATTCTTGCGAGAAAAACGTCAAGAATGGGATGAAATTTTAACACGCAAGGAGAAAATGCTGTCAGTGATAAACTTATACCTGTTTGAAATGAACTTAATTTTCCTGTACTTTTCTTATTGTTCATTTACTTCAATGTGTGACTTTATTTTACTACAGTGATGATTGTAAACTTTTCAACCTATCAACACCAGAATTTCAAATTTGCAATAAAGTTGAAGAGGATATAAAATACCATGAGAATATGTGGTCTTTGTTTGATGAATTTAATACAGGTAGGATTTATGAAATAGATTGCTAGCATTGATTTATCCTTACGATCAATCAGTATTGTTTCAATTTACCAGGTATTCAGAATATGTCTAAAGAAGAATGGATAATTTTCCGATCCAAAAGCTATCGGTTTGAGGAGTTTTTGAATCTTTGGGATGCACGCTTAAAATCAAGTCCCGACAAAACAAGTCTTACTGTTCGTCTCTTACAAGATGTTGAAAAGTACAAGGTATAATCAATTTATTGGATCATTTTCTTTGGCCACTGAACTTGCACTATTTATCACAATGCTCTGCTGTTTTCTTTGTAGGCCATTTTGCCTTTATTGAAGCTGGTGAGGGGTGATATGTTTAGTGACAAACATTGGATTGAGATGCTAGGATTACTGGGCATACCCAGTAAGCCAGTTGAAAGCCTTGTCTTTGGAGACTTTTTATCAGCGAAAGAAAACATTCTAGCACAAGCCCAGGCCTTGCAGGTACTTATTGTGTATACTGAGCAGAATTGAAACATGGAAGCTTTTCTAGTTTCTTTATGTTTCATTAATTTTAACTGTGATTTTCTTGTGATAAAGGATCTGAACAATAGAGCATCAAGTGAAATTGTGATACGCCAAGCCTTGACAGAGCTTGATATTTGGGAAGTTGAGGCACGCTTTCAATTGGTTTCCCACCGTGACTCAAGAGGGTCCTCTGTCATGTTAATAAAGGACTTTCAAGATATTCTTAACAAAGTAAGCCACTGTTTAAATATTTCGTTTGTGATGGAGTATGAGAATTTTTTTATTGAAATTGGTAAAACATTTATATTCCAGGTTGGGGATAATCAAAGTTTACTTCAGTCTATCAAGAATTCTTCGAATTATAGCAGCTTTAATGACAGAGTTGCAGTCTGGGAAGCAAGACTTGCTGATATTGATTATTTCCTTCGCAACCTAAATCAGATTCAGCGAAAGTAAGTACGGTACTAGTTTTATGAATACTTGACTCTTCCATGTTTTAGTTAGGATTTATGCTCTGTTGGTTTAAATTGTCATTTCCTGTCTGTAGATGGGTGTATCTTGAACCTATTTTTGGTGGTGGGGCAGTAGCAGTGGATGGAGCTAGATTTGAGCGTCTGGACAGAGATTTCAGATATGTCATGGACACTGTCGCAAATGATAGCAAAGTCACAGCACTATGTCGTATCAATAATTTGCATCATATACTCACCACTCTTCTTGATCAATTAAACCGTTGTCAAAAGAGCCTCAATGAATATCTTGAGGTTTGTATCAGGTTTGTGGTAGTTCATGAAAACCCTGATGTCATCATTAATTTTTTACTTTGGTCCAATCAGGAAAAACGATCTAGTTTCCCACGATTTTACTTTGTTGGTGATGAAGACCTTTTGGAAATACTTGGCCAATCTAGGAAGCAAAATGTCATTCAAGCTCATTTAAAAAAGTTGTTTGGTGGCATGAATACTGTCGTGTTTGATGGTACAGGAGACAATGATGCTCTTTGTATTATCGCAATGAAATCTCTTGATGGGGAGATGGTGCCTCTCTCAAACCCCGTTGATATTACTGTCCCAGTTGAAGTAAGACTTAGTAATCAATTTTAAAGCCCATTGCTTGTTTATCAGCCTGTTTAACTTTGGTTTAAATTTGTTTTCTGGCATTTATAGGTTTGGCTTCAGAGCTTGTGTGTCGAGATGCGCAAAACATTACAACAGTTAACTGCCGAGTGTGTAAAATCTAATCGTAACAACTCTGGCGGACCGGATCCCTTGCATTTTCCGTCTCAGGTTCTTTGTCTGACCCAGAGTATAACTTTCACTGCTCAGTGTGAGGAAGCCATTAAAAAAGGATCACTAAATTCATTTTTGAAATCAATCAAGGTAGGCAAACTCTCTGTAAAACCATTGGTTCTTAAATTATTCAATTTATTTTCTTGAATAAATTTTGTCTTCTTTTGGGGTTTCTTCTCAGGCCCAGCAAGATGTGTATGCCAATGTGGAGCTTTCCAGCTTCAGTGATGGTGGTGATGATGAGGCTCGTATTCTTGAATTGAAACAAAAAGCCCTTCTTGTTGACATAGTTCATCATGTGCACATTGTAGAAGATCTGATAGAATCTCAAGTCTCCAGCCTTCAAGATTGGGCCTGGCAGAGGCAACTCAGGTTTTATATTGAAAAAGATGGGAATGTCATTGTAAAAATGGTTGATGCTCAGTTTAATTACACATATGAATACCTTGGCAATGCTGCCAAGCTTGTTCATACACCTCTGATAGACAAGTGTTTCCTCACATTAACTCAGGTATCCATTCACGTTCTTCGTAGATGTCTTTGCTCTTGATGGTTTAGCAGGTTGTCTCAAATTTTAATTTTTGCAGGGCATGCACATGGGGCTTGGTGGTAACCCTTATGGTCCTGCAGGTACAGGCAAGACAGAATCCGTTAAAGCTTTGGGTGCTGCACTAGGCAGACAAGTATTGGTTTTCAATTGTGATGAAGGCATTGATGTGATGTCAATGAGTCGTATATTTGTCGGCCTTGTGAAATGTGGAGCTTGGGGCTGCTTTGATGAATTCAATCGACTGGAGGAAGCCACCCTTTCTGCCATCTCTATGCAAATACACCCCATCCAAAGTGCAATCAAGAATCGACGCCCTAAAGTTAAAATCATGGAACAAGAGGTCCCACTCGACTTCAATGCTGGAATATTTGTAACGTTAAATCCAGCGGGGAAAGGATACGGAGGAAGGCAAAAGCTGCCAGACAATTTGAAACAATTATTTCGACCTGTTGTCATGTCAGTGCCTGACAATGAGCTTATAGCAGAAGTCATCTTGTATTGTGAAGGTTTTAAAAATGCAAAGCTAATTGGGAAAAAGCTTGTAGAGGTTTTTGATCTGTCCAGGTACTTTTTTTCCATTTAACTCAATATTGCCTTTTCAATAAGTGTTTTTATTTATAGAGGGAGAGAGTTGTTGAAGAGCAGACTTCACTTTGGTATTTATTCTCAATTTCAGGAGATTGCTAACACCTCAGAAACACTATGACTGGGGACTTCGTGCTCTGAAAACAGTATTGGGAGGCTGTGGCAGTATGCTAAGGAATTGGTGGAGCTCCAATGGCAATCATACAAGAGGCAATGCAGAGCTCTCCAATGAAAGAGAGATGGAATTAGCAGTACAAGCTTTACGACTGAATACATTATCAAAGCTCTTGTTTCGGGACTGTTTGGCATTTGATGCTTTGGTCAAAGATGTGTTCCCAGGCATTCAATTTACTGCCTCTGGCCATGAAAAGCTAGCAGCAACTGTGAAGGAAAGCTTCTCTGCTCTGGGCCTTCAATACAATGAGAGACAGGTGTGCTGGAAATCATCATAGGCACATGATAGCTGAATCAAAGCATTTATTTGGAGAATTTACTGTGTTTATTATTTTTACAGGAGCATAAATGTATAGAACTTTATGAACAACTTCAGCAGAGAATGGGAGTGGTTATTGTGGGACCGTCTGGATCAGGAAAAACTACATTGTGCCGCCTGCTGAAACATGTAAGTGTTTATTTAATCTGGCTTTCTCTAGAAAATATTTCTATTTTTTTTTCTCTCATAGGCTCTTAACCATCTTGGTCATGTGGTCAGACAACACACTGTGAATCCCAAAGCCATGCCACGGTCCCAATTACTTGGGAAAATTGATTTAGACACTCGCCAATGGATGGATGGAGTTTTAACAATCAGTGCACAGAAAGTATATTCTGAACCACCAGGTACATTGGCGCATCAATACATTTAACATCTTCAGATAATAAAGATATTTTGAAAATTAACACACATCTGCTAAATTTTTAGATATTCACTCATGGATTGTATGTGATGGTGATGTTGATCCAGAATGGATTGAGTCACTAAATTCTGTACTAGATGATAATCGTCTTCTCACTTTACCATCTGGATGGCGTATTCAATTTGGGCCAAATGTTAATTTCATTTTTGAAACTCATGATCTCAGTTATGCATCACCCGCTACAATATCTCGCATGGGAATGATTCTGCTAAGGTATGCGTTTTAATTTTTTTTGCTTTAGTTTGCAAAATGCCTTCTTAAAATAACATGTTTATTTCTGATTGAAAGTGATGAAGACATGGACATCAATGGTTTGATCTCAATTTGGCTAGGCCAACAACCAGAGAGATCTCAGAGAGTCCTCTCTCAGCTTATTGAAGACCATTTCCACAAAGGTTTGTAGCCGTGATGTATGGAGTTCTTAAATATGTTGCAAACTTCATGACTGTGTAACCCTTACTTATTTTATTTGGCAGCATTGAAGTGGGTTATGACTCAGGGAGAAAGTTCTTTGCCAAGGTCTGTAGTTGGTCTTGTTCGCACCGGTCTTTCACACCTCGTACAAGTGGAAAATGCCCCACAGTTCATGGTTTCCTTGATCCGTGGACTTGGTTCAAACCTCACTCTCCTTAGTAGAGAATTATTTGCAAAACAGGTAAACATTTAATTCATATACCATCTTGATGCAATTACTTTTCTTGTTTTAACAACTAATGGAATGTTTCAAAGGTATTTGATTGGTTTGGAGAGTACCCACTAGACCCAGCACTTATCCTGAATTGTCACTATAACACAGAAAGGGGTCGCCTAGAAACCTATGTGTTAGATTGTTCTACAGATGTTGGAGCTATTGGTCAGACACTGCCAATAGTTCATACTATCAATGTGAAACTTACTTTGAGTATCCTCTCTGTCTGGCTACACCAAGAGAATTCAGAACCTTTTCTTCTAGTTGGCCCAGCTGGATGTGGTAAAAGGTATGTTGCATTTGTCTCCTTCTAAAGTTGCACGTTACTTTCAGATTTAGCAAAACTTGAATCCTTGTATTTTGTTCCAGTATGATTCTGAATGAATGTTTTCAAAACTTGCGAGGAGTTGAAGTGGCGATTGTACACTGCAGCGCACAAATAACTCCAGAACATGTATTGCAAAGATTAAAACAGGTATTTTTACTGGGGTTCTCAAAACTCTATCTCCTCAGTTCAACCCCACCTATTTATGTGTAAAAATTTTTTGCAGGTTTGCATGATTATTTCCAGCAATACTGGAAGGGTCTACCGACCCAGAAATGCGGAACGTCTAATTTTGTACTTCAAGGACATAAATTTAGCGAAGCCAGACAAGTGGGGCTCAAGCATGCTGATCGCATTCTTGCAACAGGTAGATCTTACTGATATCCCATCTAATGAAGTTTGTGTTGTCACTTAGTATTTATTTACCGTACCCAAATTATTTTCAGTTGATCACATACCGTGGATTTTATGATTCTGACTTGGAGTGGGTTGGTTTAGAGAGAGTACAGATTGTTGGGAGTATGACAGGAGGAATTGGTCGAAATGTGCTATCTAGTCGCTTTACTTCCATTGTACATGTTCATGCCGTGGGGTAAGTGTAAAAAAATATATTGCTTGCTTTATGAAAATTTCAGTTGGATAACTTCAATTGGTTTGTTGATTTTAACTGGATAAAATTCTAAAGAAATTTTAAAACAATACAAATTTGTTTCAGATTGCCTGAGGCTGATGAGTTGAAATCCATTTACAACGTCTTTATGAAGGCGGTATTTAAACTTTCTATGCCTACTCACCCTGTTTGGTCTTCTACCAATAAAGTAGCAACGCTTGTTAATACTATAGTACGGATATACACAGAAGTAAGGCACCGCAGATTTTTTTATCAAAACAATTTGATTGTGTACAAAGATCAAACAATATTGATTCATGGCCTAATAACACACTGTTAATCTCTCCTCCTTTAGGTTTGCTCCACATTTACCCCTATGCAGCAAAACCATTACTCTTTCACACCTAGGGACCTCACCCATTGGTGCATGGGTCTCTTAAGATATGATCTACAACCAACTGATTCTTCTGTTGTGCCTGTTTTGAAGGTCACTATTTAAAATTCGTTTTTTTGCTATGAATCCATATCCCTTCATTCAATTAAAAAAACACTGTCTTTCAGGCCACCCTACATGAAGCTATGCGAATATTCTATGACAAGCTTGTTTGTGACAATGATAAGAGCAAATTCCAAAATTTAGTCACTTCAGTTCTTGAAAATGAATGGAATAAGTCCTCTGTCGTGGATGAGCTCAATGGTAAAAATACTCAAGCATCTATCTCTTATTTTTCTGGCAGTGTCTTTCATTGGCAATTTTTGTTGAGAGTGTTATGGGTTTCTTTAAGGCACTTACTTCGTCACTTTTGGACATGGGAGAGTAGATCCGAGTAAATCACACTTCGGCAAACTGTTGTCTCAACTTGACAAGAATGATTGGACTAAAATGGTCAAAGATGGAATGAACATTTATGGTATGGTACCTTCCATTTGTGTTATTAATCTTTACTGATTTATCTTGATTTAATGTAAGTGTCCCTCTCTGCACAGGCCGTGAGGGTGTAGCATTAGATCTGCTAGTCTTCCCAGAACTGCTTCAGCAAGTGGCATGTGTTGACCGCGTCCTCTCTGTGCCTCAGGGCTCATTGCTCTTGGCTGGAAGGTGTGGTGTGGGACGCAAGTCATCTGTGCGTATAGTTTCAGCCCTACACGCTAAAAAGCTGCTCACTCCCAAAGTTGGACGCAACTATAGCTTGAACAGTTTCAAAATTGATCTGAAGCAGGTACATATTTATACCATGATGCTATCAAAATTTTTTGAAGGATTTTCAACTTTTTTTTCTTATGCTCTGTCTAGGCCATGCAATGCGCTGGTGTTGACGGTGAAGAAGTCATTCTGCTTTTGGAGGACTACCAGCTGGGAGAGGTTTCCAGTGGTTTTCTTGATATGGTCAACAGTCTCCTTTCTTCTGGGGAGGTATGGCAGCCCAGAAAATATTTCTAGATTATTGTAATGAAGCACATCTTATTGGAAGGTCAATTGATTTTGCAGGTTCCTGGTTTGTACCAGCCAGAGGAATTAGAATCTGTAGTAACTCCTCTTCGAAATTTAGCGGCTCAAGAGGACTTCCAAGGGTCTCCACTCACATTCTTTGCTCAACGTAAGCAGTATTTTCAATCTTGTCTTGGTTTTGAACCGGTAATTATAAATAACAATCTATTCTTTCCTTTGTAGGTGTTTTGCAAAACCTTCATATTGTGTTGGTACTGGATTACACCCGCTCTACCTTTACCAATATTTGTGAAAGCAACCCAGCACTGTACAAACAGTGCTCTGTTATGTGGTGGCCAGAATGGAGTCAAGCTAGTATGAGGGCAATACCTCGCCTGCTACTTGAAAAGTATGTTTTTTGTCCTCTAGCAACTCAGGATAATTTGCTGTTATTAGAAACGAAATGCATGTCTTGTTTTAATTTGTTTCAGAGTGGACGGAGTCACATCATATTCAAGTGAATCAAAAAGTAGCAACAAAAATCACATTACACAGAAATTATCAGAAGAAGATAGTCTACTGGATGGCTTCCTTCACATCCATCAAACTGCAAAAATCCAACAACAAACACCCTTGCGCTTCATTCTTTTTGTTCGAACATATCTTCACATATACATTAGTTGTAGCATGGATATCCATCAGAGACAGGAAAGACTACAGGTAAATTCAAAAATCAATATGTTCAACTGCACACCTGCATCTGCACATATGATTTGGATGTAATTTTTTCAGGCAGGGGTTTCTAAACTTACTGAAGCCAAGCAACTAGTGGATAAATTGAAATCAGATGCAAATATCCAAGAAGAACTCTTGGCTGAAAAACAAGCAGCTGCAAATAATGCATTGGAAATGATAACTGAAACAATGAGGAGTGCCAATACCCAAAAAAGTGAAATGGAGGTTTTAAAAGATAATACAGAAAAAGAGAACCAGATTCTAATGGCTAGGAAGCGTGAAATTGAGCAGGAACTTGTTGAGATAGAGCCCCTTGTCAATGAGGCCAGTACAGCCATTGGAAACATTAAAACTGAATCTCTTTCTGAAATTCGCTCCTTACGTGCGCCGCCAGATGTCATAAGAGATATTCTTGAAGGTGTTCTCCGTCTAATGGGAATTCTAGACACATCATGGAATAGTATGAAAACTTTTCTAGCCAAACGAGGAGTAAAGGAGGACATCAAGTAAGTGATTTTAAATCAATGTGTATGTCTATCATTTCTTCAACTTCGAACCATTTTCTACTATTTTGCCTAATTTTTCTCAGGTCCTTTGATGCTCACAGCATAACTGAAGAAAGCCGAGCTGCAGTTGAACAGCTTTTAAGAGATAGGAAAGAATCGTTTGATCCAAAAAATGCAAAACGGGCATCAGTGGCAGCAGCCCCATTAGCGGCATGGGTTACAGCAAACGTAAAGTATTCCAGGGTCTTAGAAAAAATTCGACCATTAGAACAGGAGCAGAGCAAACTTTTGAAGTAAGCTTATGGTTTCATGCCCAAATTTTTCTGTGAAGTGAGAAGCTTGATTCTAAACGTTTTCCTTTTTGTTAGGAATTTGCAACGAGCTGAATCTCAGATAGGAAAACTCAGAGCAGGCCTCACCGATGTCGATCAAGCTGTGTCTGAGCTCAAAGGCCAGCTCAATAGCTACACGCAGGAAGCGGCACAGTTACAGATTCACCTGAGTAAGGCTCGAGAAACAATAGAGGCAGCAGAGGGTCTCGTGTCGAAATTGGATGAAGAATATCAAAGGTGGAAAGATATGGTGGGTAAAAGAACTGTTCTGTTTTGATTGGCCAATGCAAAATTAGCAGGGTTTAACACAAGTGTATTATAATTTCAGCTTGCTGAAATCTCTTCAAACTTAGGACAGCTCCCAGTGAGTTCTCTTCTGGCCGCTGCTTGCATTGTTTATCTTTCATCTTCTCCTGAGAATGTTCGAAAGTAAGTAGCTTACCTTGGGTTTCAATCACTTTATTTTCATGGTTAATTCATTTTTGTACTTATGAAACTTGTTGTTTCTGTTTTGCAAATTTCCTAGTGCTCATATAAAAGAGTGGCAGTCTAGATTTGGGTTATCCGATTTTCGTTTAACTCAATTTCTTGCATCTCAACGGCAACAGCTTCAGTGGCAGGCTGAGGGTTTGCCTTCTGATCAGCTGTCAGTCCAAAATGCAGTGATAATAATGCAGGTAAATAAGAAACACATGTATGCACAGTTTAAAAAAAAGCGCAATTCTTTTAATGTTCTGTCAATTATTGAATGGAACTCACTTTTATTCTAGCTTGCCTCTTTGGAATCTGGGGTTAGTAATTTTATAACTTGAATAAAAATAATTAATTAATGAGTTTTGTGAGAACTTTGACCGTTTCTACCAAAGCTTTTGTGCAGAACTTATACTGAAGATGTTTTTAAAACTTATTTTGTAGACTATGATGAGACCTTTGCTGGTGGACCCTTCCTACAGTGCCACTGAATGGCTACAGAAGCATCTTACAAGCCGCATGGTGGAAGTAGTGACACTACACAGTGAAAGATTCACAACAGTTCTTGAATTAGCCATCAGGTTTGTTGCTTTAGATTTGAATTGCACAGTCCACAAAATCCTAAGGCACATTAAGGCATTACGGCTGAAATTTCACATTTTTAAAATTTCTGATATGATTTCACCGCTCAAGGCAGGTTTCCTTGTAGTTTTTCTGGCAATTCTCATTTTCCCCCAATTTCTGATAGCTGTGTAAAAGATAAATTGTTTCAGGTTCGGAAAGGTACTGATAGTGCAAGAGGTGGATCACATAGATCCGTTGCTTTACCCTGTACTACGTGGCGATTTCATCAATCAAGGTGTGGAAAAATAAATACCCCCTTAATATATCACTGTTCATTCAATTGTTTCTGAAATTCCCTTTTTATCTTGTTTCTAGGTCCCCGCAAAGTTGTGCAGTTAGGTGAAAAGTTAGTTGACTTCAACTCAGATTTCCAGTTGTTTCTAACTACAAGGAACATCTCTCCAGACATCCCTCCTGATGTATTTTCTTCTATTACTCTTGTAAACTTCATCACATCACCTGCAGGTTTATCAGGACAAGTAAGTACACTATGATATTATTGAAAATATTTATTTTCTCGTTCATTTTCTTACACATCTGTCCAACAGCTTCTAGCTTGTGCACTGTGCACAGAACGACCTGAGTTAGAAAAAAGAAGGGGGGAGTTGCTACGTCGAGAAGAAGAATTATCTGCTCAACTTCATACTTTGCAGGATGGCTTATTACAGCAACTTGCTCAGGCTCAGGGAGACATTTTACAAAATAAGGTTTTTTTAACTTTGAATTTGATTTTATCTCTGCCCTGTTCAATGACAAATACAATAATCACAATGTCTTCCAGGACCTTTTGGCTTCCTTGAATGAAACAAAAGCCAAAAGTGCTGCTATTTCGGAATCTCTGGAAGAATCATCTCGTCTGCAATCAGAGCTAAACAAGGAGTGTGATACATACAGGCCTTTAGCAGATTTTGGCAGTGCTCTCTTTTTTGCAACGGTTGATTTAGGAAAGCTCAGTTCAGTGTATCAACTATCTATAACAGCATTCATGAGACTGTTTGAAAAGGCTCTTAAAACACCTGAGGTTGGTATCTCCATCGACCAATAAAATAAAGACTGTAAGATAGCTCATTAAATTAAATTCAATATTACAGGCTATTCACAACTCTGAAGATCGGCACAAGAATCTGCAACAACGCTTGTTATTACTAACTTTCCAGTATGTAAGCCGATCTTTATTCAAGGCAGACAGGCTAACTTTTGCCCTTCATCTCTCTCACAAAATGTGTCCAGCAAGTTTCCTGCCCAATGTAAGTTCAAATTATTCAAATTTTTTGAAAATTTTGCTTTTAAAATAAAAAATACAAGTTAACTTTCTTTTTTGACAGGAATGGGAGGCTTTGACAGGACAAGTTTTAGTTGATTTGAAAGTTGACACAGCACAAATCAATGACTCTGTTCCTAAATGGCTTGAGGAAGACAAAGCATTTGAAGTGTTTCTTCTGCAGGTATAAATGGAGACATTATCAACACTGGACATTCAAAATATATTCTCTTTACCTGCTTTATTTTCTGCTCACTTATCTTCTAGAACGCACTGCCTGCATTTTATGCTGAGTTGAAGCTAGAGGACAAAACTGCATGGCAGAATTTTATGGAGAGTGAAAACTGTGAGCAAATGCTGCCTTCACATCTATCTGGGAGAATAACACCCTTCCAGAGAGTTCTCTTAATTCAAACCTTAAGACCAGATCGATTACATTCAGCTCTCACTTCTTTTGCTCTGTCAACATTAGGTGAGAATGTAGGGCTCAATATACTTGACTTAGAAATGTGCAAACACCATTGTGAAAATTGGATATTGTAGGGATCATGGATCTGTCTCCTCCCACATTACGGCTGTCCCAACTTCTTGGTGAGCTCCTACCATCTGAACCTGTGCTTCTCATTACGTCTCCTGGAGCTGATCCCTCTGAAGAGTTACGAACTCTGGCTTACTCCACTGTTGGAGAGAATCGGTACCATGAGGTAAAGCAATTGGTCTATTTCAATTGGTAGAAGGTGGGCACATGGTGCCTTCACTACTGTTTTACAGTGTTTACAAAGTAATTTGTTGTTGTATGTTGTTAGATTGCTATGGGTCAAGGTCAGGAAGTAAAGGTGCTGGAACACCTAATGCTGGCTGCCAAAGATGGCCATTGGTTGTGCATAAAAAATCTTCATTTGGCTACATTTTGGCTAGAATCTTTGGAAAAAGAGTTCCGCTCTCTATTACCTCAACTTCACTCTGAGTTTAGACTGTGGCTCAGCACAGAGTTACATCCAGGCTTCTCGCCAATAGTGGCTCAAACATGTCTGAAAATTACTTATGAGGTAGTGTAAAAGTTTCAAAATTTTTATCTGAAATTTTGTTAATATTTTGAAATTTTTAACATATTTACTTTTCCAGGCTCCTCAAGGAGTTAAACGTAACTTGCAACGTACATATGCAGCTTGGGGATCACAGATGCTAAATGGAACTGATCGCTTGTTTGCTCGAACATTGTTTGCTCTAGCATGGTTTCATGCTGTTATTCAAGAAAGACGCACCTTCATCCCCCAGGGTTGGGCAAGCTTTTATGAGTTTAGTGATGGAGATCTGAAGGCTGCAACCCTGGTATTGCAGAACTTGGTGAAGAAGAAAGGTACCGATTATTGGGCATCACATTCCTTGCACATTAAGGACTTTGTACATTTATAAGTAAAATTAAATTTTTAAAAAAATATTTGTTGATTAATTTTGCAGGAGGCCAGTCTGTTCAGTGGGAGTACGTGCACGGACTGTTAGAGAAGGCAATTTATGGTGGCCGTGTTGATAATGTCTATGACACTGGTGTCATCATATCGTACTTGCAGAAATTTTTTAATAAGGGGGTACTGCATGAAGGATCAAAACTCATAAGTGAAGGCATTCATGTACCCAACACCCCAGACTTCAATGATCACTGCAAAGAAATCCAGCGGCTTTCAGAAAAGGACAAACCTTCTTACTTTGGGCTGCCAAACAACGTTGATCGATCTTGGCAGAGGGTCACCAGTGCTGTGGTTGTCAACCAGCTGAAAATGCTCCTGAGATCCAAAGAAGGGGAGCAGAAGTTTGACAAGGAAGAGTGGCAACGCCTGTTGTCTCCTATTTTGAACTTATGGAAAAAGCTCAATCAAAGTTCTGGATTAATTCACCTCCGGCTTGATTCAAAGGAAATTAAAGAAAAGGAAAATATGGCCAGGACACCACTAGAGACATTTGTGATGTTTGAGTTTCGCAGAGCTGTCGAACTGGTGCAGCTTGTTCATCAGTCCCTGGCAGCTGTGAGCAAAGTTATACGTGGGACGTCTTTACCCAATGCGGATGCACTTGCTGTAGGAGGCTCACTCACAAGGCAAGAGGTAAGAGTTTCATTGTAAAAATTGTCTTTTTTAAAAAATCCCGTGTTGGGTAATTTTGATGAGCGACTGACTGTAAACAAAATATTTGCCGGCAGACTCCCTCCTCTTGGCAGCAGCACTGGGAAGGCCCCGACAGCCCCCTGCACTACGTCCGCGGCCTGGTGACCAGGGCCATCGCCGTCCAGCGCTGGAGGGACAAAGCCCTGGAGGAGCGCTTCTGGACGGAGCCTCTGGACCTGGCCGACCTCCTGCACCCCGAGACCTTCCTCAGCGCGCTCAAGCAGCAGACGGCTCGGGAGGCAAAGGTCCCCGTGGACACGCTGTGCCTGGACTGCCATTGGTCCCAGCCGGTCGGTAGAGGCCGTGGTGTCAGGCTGTCTGGAATCCAACTGGAGGGTGCCATTTGGGATGGAAGGCAGCTTGTGAGCTGCACTGACAACTCACCCCCTACAATGACTATCCCAGTGCTGTACCTGGCTTGGGTCCATCAGGTAACATGACTTCTGCTGATACTGATTATTGAGTGAGCAAATTCAGGACTACCTACTAATCACCATGCAACTCTTTTCTGCTCTAGGATGCCCAATCTAAGTATGGTTCTGAATCGAAGCTTCAACTACCTCTATACCACAATGAGGAACGGCGGACTCTGTTGGCAGGTCTTGAAGTCCCTTGCAATCAGGATAGTGAACTATGGATTCAGGGAGGTGTTGCCCTTTTCTTGCACAATTAGATCGCGTTTGCACTGTACTTTATCTTGTGTTATGAGCCTAGCCCACTTTCTGTAGTAAATTGTTAAGATAAATCAAAATGCGTATTTTCTTGTCCTTATTAAAAAATCTATGCCTAATGATGGCCAACAGGTAAGGGGTCATGAAACAAAAATTGTAAAAGAACTAATCAAATTTTATTATTTATTCCTAATAAGTACGAATTCTTCTGCCATCATTCAGAAGCATCCTAACAATACATGAAAAATTTGTCATGATCAATTGTCTTAAAGTGAAAACAATAACCGGGTAATGGTGCTTGTCTAGATGGAAAAATATGTTAACAGCTTTACTCGAACCCATCAGCTTTAATCAACATGTCCAAACTCTTATTACAAAAATTTCAAGATAAAACCAGATTCCAGGAATGTTTAAATTAAAACAGTTACACAAGTCCCTCCATTAAAAACAATTGATTTAATAAATACAAATATTTGGACAACCTTACAAGTAACATACACCATCAGCTGCAAAGAAAAGGCATCACAGCCATAACAACAGTTGGTATATTTACAATGTGGTTAACAAACACTTCACTTGCTCTAAGATTTAATACATTTTCAGATGGGGACTTTATCTATGAAATTGAATGATGGGTAAAAACAAAAAAGTAAAGCTTTTTACTTAGCAGGTACAATATTGAGAAAAATATACACAAAACAGACAGAAATCTCAGTAATAATTTATTGCAAATGTCTGTTCAGTGAACCGAGGCAGGAATAAATGAAGTGAGCCACAATTTAACACACACTCAATTCATTTTCCAAAATTCAGTTCAACCAGTAAAAAAGTTAAATGTGGCTTGCTCTCAGATTTACAAAATTGATTGAAATAAAAATCACATTCACTCTCACAAATAGAAGAATTCCTTACACTCATACATACACACAAACAAACACACATTTTTCCTTAGCATAATAATTAAGATGACAAAATAAAAACTGAACATGATGAAGGGGCTCTGTTTCCACTGCTCTGTCAATAGTGGCAAGTGTAAATAAGAAGCTCCTCTTACTTGTTCCTATTTACACAAAATAGTGGGGGCGAGCTGAGGAGAACATTAAAAGGAAGGATGAACAGAGCAGGCGGCACTACACTAATCCCTGAAAATAACTCCTACTCCCGTCCAAGCAGGGTGCGATTTCAGAAATCTAAATCACCACAGCTTCTCACAGTTAAAACGGGGTAAAAAATGTCTTTAAGAGCAAGTGTTATTACAGGACAAGTGTAATCAACCTTACATTAAAATGAGTCTATTCGTCGTCGTCATCATCACCGTCGTCATCATCTTCGTCCTCATCACTCTCTGGTTTCGGAGCCATGGGGGGCATGGGCATACCACCCTTGGGCTTCTTCTTGTACGCTGTCATATCCTGAGGGAAAACAAAACCAAGAGGTTAAAAACACTGAACCCCTCGGCACGCAGACGCGCGAGCAGCAGCTTCAAGTGGGGAGAACACAGCAGACACTTACCCTTTCGTACCGGGCCTTGTCCTTCTCGGCCATCTGCTCGTACTTGCTCTTGAGCTCGGGCGAGATGTCGGACCACCTCCTCCCCAGCTCCTTGGCGATCTCCCCCACCGTCATCTCGGGGTTGGCGCCCTTCACCTTTCCTCTCTCGTCGTTGCAGAACCAGAAGAAAGCAGATCTGGAGAAACACACAGCGTTAGCGACAGGACCGAGGCACGGGCACCAAGAGTGTTTCCATCAAGCCGGCCGGGTACTTACAATGAGCGCTTGGGCGCGTTGGGGTCCTTGATCTGTTTCCTCTTCTTGCCACGCTTCTCGCCGACCGGAGGAACGTAGTCCTGCATCTCCGTGTCGTACCTCTTCTTGTCCTTCTCGGCCATCTCGTGAAACCTCTTCTTTTCCTTGTCCAGCATGGTCTGAAACAAAGACAAAAATCGACTCGTCAGTTTCGGAAAAATCCTCCCCCATCCACGAGGCGACGTTCCCCCCACTAGCGCCGCAGCCGAAATGACCAGTTGGGCCCGAAGAAAACTTGAGAACACTCATTTCAAAAGTGGTGATGAACGGGGGTCTTTGTTGCACGACCAAATTGCGGGCAACAAATTCCGAGTCCCAGGCGGACGGACGGACAGACAGACAGACGGACGTGGAGAGGAGGGTGCGAGGCACAGGAGAGACTCGGGACCCCCAGCACCCGGGCGAGCAGCGCAGCGGCGCCCGAGCCGGCAGCCCCAGCCAATCTAATAACTTCCTCATTTAAATGCAAAAGGGGTGAGTGAGCCCAAAAATGTTGCGCCCACCACAAGCGACCTGCCGATCACGACACCAGCACCAGCCACGGCCTCGGTCGCACATTCCCACCGAGCGCGTCGACTCCAAGCAAATCCCAGACACTGGAAGACTAACGGATCCCGACACTTGCAAAGGGGGAGGCGCCAGAAAGTATGTGGTCCGTATAATGGAATCGCGAGTGAAAATATTACAGGGGACTAAGAAGGACCGGCTGGGAGGAGAGGGAGGGAGAATGTGAGGCAGATAAATTAGACTCGCTCGCGGAGGGGGAGGGCGGAGGGGCCGGGAGAAAACTCATTGAAAAAGAAAATATGTGCCTCTACGGGAAACGGGGGTGGCCGCGGCAGGCGGCGGCGGCGCCGGGCTGCACAGTCATAGAGCACCAGGAAAAAGTCTACAGTAGCCGAGGCACAAATTGAAAAAGTCGGCTCCTTACAACAGCGTTTTGGGAAAAACTGACGTACAGTCACATAGAAAAGGAAGAGTATGCTGACTAACCGCTTTCAAGACCACAATACCAGTGGCGAACTCGCACTTTTATAACACCAAAAACCGAATGTAGCTAACCCGATTGAGGTCATAGGCCACGTAGGGTCCATACGCCATCACCCAGAGGCACGCTCTTTGATCTACTTCCACGCAACGACCGAGACCACAACAAATGTGACAAGGTGCTTTCGGGAAGCGCGACAGGTAACATTTTAAATTTAAGACAGAAACTAAATGTAGATAGCCCGATTGAGGTCATAGGCCAAGAAGGGTCCATACGCCATCACCCAGAGGCACGCTCTTTGATCTACTTCCACGCAACGACCGAGACCACAACAAATGTGACAAGGTGCTTTCGGGAAGGGGGGGGGGGGATCTCGCACATTTAAACATGAAAAACTGAATGTAGCTAGCCCGATTGAGGTCATAGGCCAAATAGGGGGCCGTACGCCTTTACCCAGAGGCACGCGTTTTGAGCTCCAGAGTCGCTAAATGGGATTCGAACCGAACGTGCGACCCCACCAATGGATTGCTCTCCAAACAAGGAGTTCATTGGTGGGGCCACACGTGCGGTTCGAGTCCTGCTTAGCGACTCTGGAGCTCAAAACGCGTCTAGGGTTTTGTCCGCCTAGGGCCCCTGTGCAGCGGGGCCATGCAACGCGGGCCCGGAGGGCGAGGCCGGCTCTGCCTGCGCGGCTCAAAGGGAGGCCACGAAGGGAGGAACTTCGGAATGGGGAATAAGCCCGAAATGAGAGTGGTCCTGCGCGGTGGAGGGGGAAGGGGAAAGGGGCGCTAGGCCAGGGCTTTGCCTAGCAGCCCCCACCCCGCTTCCCCGCCGGCCGGGCCCGGCCAGGCGCAGCCCGCTGCCGGTGGTGGCCCCCGCCCCGCCCTTCCCCGCCATCGATTTTTCATAGAGAACCCCACATCTACAAGCGACGCGGCCCTTGGGGAAACGCGAATCCGGGCCGGGCGCCCCTCCCGCCCCGCGCACTCCTCACCCCCACGCCTCGCGCCCCGCGGCCGGCAAGGCCCGCACCGCGCGCCGAGCACCGCCAGCGAGGCCCGGCGGAGCCGCGGAGCCATGGCGGAAAGGAAAGGAAGGAACCGACGACGTCCGCCCCGCGCGCACCGTGTCAGCTCATTACCGAGTTTGATTACACCGCAAAAAAGTGCAAACATGAAACAAAAGCAAAACGCTCGGTCTAGAATTCGTACTTCAGCCGCGTCATCTCACACGGCGACTGACACACACTGCACCAGTGGCCTATGTCCGGCAAATTCACAAAGACCGGAGGGTCGTTGTCGACACAAAAATCCCGCAGGATCGTCATGTGGTTCTGTCTCTCGCGTTTCCGGAGCGCCCCGTGGGGGTGCGAGAGACAGAGCCGCGGCTGTGGGCTCTGGGCCCCCTCGCGACAGCGGTATCCGCTGCCAAGAGCCGAGCGGGCCGAGCGACGCGAGCCAAAGCCCCAAGCAAGCGAAGCAAGTCGCGGCGGCAAGATCGACGCGGAAGCGAGAAATCGCTTCGATTTTGCCGCCTTGGCTTGCGCCGTGGCGCCCGACCCGACGGCCCCGGCCGGCGCTAGCTGGCGCTAACACCCCGAGCCGAGGCGAGCGAGCGTCCCACAGTGGGCCAGAAGACCGGTGGAGGCGGACAAAACTCCAGACGCGTTTTGAGCTCCAGAGTCGCTACGTGGGACTCGAACCAAACGTGTGACCCCACCAATGGATTCCTCGTTCAGAGAGCAATCCATTGGTAGGGTCACACGCTCGGTTCGAGTCGCATTCACCGATTCGGGGGCTCCAAACGCGTCTAGAGTTTTGGCCGCCTCCACCGGTCTTCTGGCCCACTGTGCGCCTCGACGCTGGAAGCCCTCCACTGGAAGGGGCAGCACGGACACGGCCGGGGAAAACAAAGCGCTCCCAGGGCAGGCCTGGCCGACGCCTACACCGCGGGAAACTCCACCAAAGCCGGAGCGTCCCGAGCAAGTCGACGGCCGAGCCAAATTTCGTACAGAGAAACCCGAAACAGTGAGGCGCGGCGGCAGCGCACAGCGCACCCAAGCGGCACAGCCGGCCAGTCGCCGGCAACGTGGCCTGGCCGGGGCGGCCGGCAGGGCCCCTCCAGCGGCGCAAGCGGCGCCACGCCAGCCAGGCCCCGGCCAGGCCACGCGGAACAGGGCGCCAAACTCACACGTGCCGGCCGGCCCACAGTGGGCCAGAAGACAGGTGGAGGCGGACAAAACTCTAGACGCGTTTTGAGCTCCAGAGTCGCTAAATGGGACTCGAATCGAAAGTGTGACCCCACCACTGTATTGCTCTCCGAACGAGGAATCCATTGGTGGGGTCACACGTTCGGTTCGAGTCCCATTTAGCGACTCTGGAGCTCAAAACGCGTCTGAAGTTTCGGCCGCCACAACCATTCTTCTCGCCCACTGTGGGCTGCCCGCCAAGCCCTAGAGGCGGACCCACAGGACCCACACCGGAAGACGCGCCGGAACCGCTAAAGCGGCGTCCCAAACCCAAACCGCGACCGCCAACGCCGCTATCGGCGGCAGTCTGCCTCTCTCGCACCCCACGGGACGCCCCGCGAGTGCGAGAGAGACAGCTCACGCGGATCCAGGGAGAGAGGGAGACAGTTAACCCCATCTTGGTCCTTGCCTAGCCGCCCAAAAGGTAGGCAAAAAGTGCTGCCCCGCCCTCCGGACGGCTCCGGCTCGAAGACGGGACGCGCGCAAGTGGCAAAAATGCGTCAAAGGCGGTTCGAAAAACGCGCGTCCGGAGCGGCGAAAGAGACGCCGCCACGCCCGGGAAGCGAGCGAGCGGGCGAGCAGTGGCGTGGCGAGGTGCGTGAGAGCGCGGGGCCTGCGGGGCCGGCCGGCCTGCCCCCGCCGGTCCATGGTGCAACGACACACCAAGGTCAAGCAACGAGGGCCGAGCCTGGCAGAGCCTGGCCGCGCCGCACCAGGCGGACGCGCCGAACAGTGGGCCAGAAGACCGGTGGAGGCGGCCGAAAGTCTAGACGCGTTTAGAGCTCAATGGGACTCGGACCGAACCTGTGACCCCACCATTGGATTCATCGTGCGGACAGCAATCCATTGGTGGGGTCGCACGCGCGGTTCGAGTCCCATTTAGCGACTCTGGGGCTCAAAACGCGTCTGTAGTTTCGGGCGCCTCCGCCGGTCTTCTGGCCCACTGAGCGCCGAGAAGGAAGGCGAGGCACAGGCGGGCCCCCTCCCCGGATCATCCTCCGGCCGGCGTAATGCATCCTCCACCCGCGGCGCCACGCGACAGCGACAGCCCCGCGAGGGGCCCGCTCAATTAACACGGTCATCGGGGACCTCGCCGCCGGGGACAAGCCGGGCCGCGACCAGGCCGCCATCTGCGTCCACTGCGAACCCTGCAGCCGGATGGGCAACAGAGTCTCCTCTCTCGCACTCGCGGGGCGTCGCGCAAGGGTGCGAGAGAGACAGCGACCGAGGCGGGGACGCAGATGCGGTGCAGGGCAGGCAGGGCGCCGTCCAATCCGCGGGCGGAGCAGGCGGGGCGGCGAGGGGCCGTCCCGCAATCGCCTCAAAGAAACTCGCCCCGCCCCGGCGGTACACTGCCAGTACGGGTCCAGGTCGATAGTCTGCAAATAGCTCGGCACCAAGGCCCCGGCGGGGGCCCCGCGCAACCGCACCATTTTAAACAAACGGCGGACGGGGAGGGGGACGCCGGGCCGGGGCGGCCGGGACGGGCGTCAAACTAAACCCGACAGGTCGGCAGAGCCAAACTAGCACCCCACACCGCTAGGGCCGCGAGCGCCTCTAGGACCGCGCCAGCGTGCGCCAGCGCCACCCCGCGATATTCCTTGCCGTCGGCCCAGGCGCTGGGCGCGCTGGGCGCGGACGCCGTGCCGTCGGCAGCCCGCACTCTCCACCGCGTCACTTTGGCAACAGCGCGAGCGCGCGCACCGCCGTAAAATTGTAGAATCCACCAAATCGGAAGACGGCCGACCGGCGGCGGAGTGCCCGGCCGGCAGACCGCGGCGCGGAACACCTTCCGCGAGGACGCGCGCCGCGGTTTCGCCAGGCGGGAAGAACGCTACACGCGTTTTGAGCTGCAGAGTCGCTAAGCCAGTGGCGTGCGCAGAAATTTAGAAAGGGGGGGGGGTCAGGCCACGCTTTTTGCCTACTTACAGGGGGAAAGTGACGCAATTTGCCTACCTTCCAGGCGGCTGTCTAGTGGCCAAAGGGGGGGGGTCATGACCCCCCTGACCCCCCCCCCCCCTTGCGCACGCCACTGCGCTAAGCAGGGCTCGAACCGAACGTGTGACCCCACCAATGGATTCCTCGTTCCGAGAGCAATCCATTGGTGGGGTCACACGTCCGGTTCGAGTCCCATTTAGCGACTCTGGAGCTTGAACACGCGTTTGGGATTTCGACCGCCTCCACCGGTCTTCTGGCCCACCGGCCCTCCCGATTTCAAGTCGACTATCTGGCAGAACTTCTCGCAAGACTCGCAATCTTACACGGGGCAGCCTCCCCCCGAGCGCGCCGCAGCGGTCCGTGGAGCAACTTTGAACAGGTTCTGCATGCGAAACTCGCGACAGTCCGTAACGAACTACCGGATTCTGCGAGTCGTAAACACGGCAGCGCCAACGCCGCCGTCTCTCTCGCACTCACAGACAGACGAGGACAACGTTCGGAATCTAGCAGCGCCGAGCATCATCAGCAAGCCATTTTATTTTCAAGTTCAATAAAACGCCGCGCCACTATCTTCGGCAGCGCGTTCAACTCGTCGTTCACGAGATACGGCAGAGTGACTCCGAACAGCGCTCCGTCTCTCTCGCGCCCTGCCGGGCCGTGCCGCGAGTGCGAGAGAGACCTCCCACCGAGAGACGCACAGTGGGTCGAACGTGCGACCCCACCAATGGACTGCTCTCCGAACGAGGAATCCATTGGTGGGGTCACACGTTCGGTTCGAGTCCTGCTTAGCGACACTGGAGCTCAAAACGCGTCTAGAGTTTCGACCGCCTCCGCCGGTCTTCTGGCCCACTGTGTGACGCCAGTCCAACGGCGCGGCGAGGGGCCGTGACGTCACGCCGCTGCATCTGCCCCAGCGCCCCACAAGCAGTACCCACGTACTCGCAGGGCCGCCCGGGCCGCCCCCACCCCAACCCAGGGGCGCGTCCGAGCGGCGAGAGGGCCTCGCGGACGCCACCCACGCCACGCCGCGCACCTGCCCGAGTCCGGAAACCCGCGCCGCCCTCTCTCGCACACGCGGGGCGTCCCGTGCGGGTGCGACAGAGACAGCGCGGCGAAGGTCGGCTGCAGGCCGAGCACCACGCGGCGGCAGGTGCACCCCGTTACCTGCACCAGCCCCTCCAAGTTCGCCCGACACAGCGTCATCGCAGACTCTCCCCACACGGGACGCCCCGTGAGTGCGAGAGAGACAGCGACGACCAGACTGGCCGAAAAGCTCGCGGAGCCGAAGGTACGCCAACCCGAAGGGCAAAACTATACAAGTATAATTTGTCCCCGAAAATAAAACCCAGCGCGCCGCCTCTGGCTGCCACGCCGTGGCCGTGCCGCCCGGACGCATCATTTTGCCGCCAATTCCGACGGGCAGCGCGACCGACCGGCGCGACGTCCGCGGCCGAGGCCCGAAGCAGCGACGCAGCGCGCCGGCAGCCCGCCAGCCGAGTCACCCTTTCGAGGCAACGCAGCACCGCCCACGAGGCGCATCGACTTCCCCGCCCCCGTTCCAGCACCGCAAGGCAGCACCCCGAAACAAACTCCAGCGCCCGCGGAACTAGGGAACTTGCTCGCCGGCCGGCCGGCACGCCCGGCCCAAAGACGTCAAACCAACGGCCGCCAACGGCCCGCAGCCCGGCCGGCAACCCGCCCGGCAACTCGAGACGCCTCCATGCCGGCAACGCAGCCGGCCCGCCCGAGCTGGCAGCCAGCGCGGCCCGGCCCGAGCAGCCAGCCAGAGCCCCCAGCCAGCCCCCGCTCGCCCAGCGCGCAACGCGCAGCGTGCGCAGCCCAGCGCCGCGGCACCCAAAACCAGTTTGCCTTCATTTCAACCGATAATGCCGAGAGAGAGAGAAAGATAGAGTCGGCAGCGAGATCCTTCCCAACCTCTAGCCGGCACGGCAAGGCACGGCCCAGCGCACCTAGACCGCCGGCGGCCACCAAAATTTTTATTATCAAAAACTTCGAACATTTTCACCAAGCTGGGAAAAACTCGAAACGATGCGTGGTGAATTGAAGGAAAGTTTAGAACGCGGACAGCCGTGTAGGTGAACCTCAGCTGTTTCCCGCGGGAAAAAAGGTCGGCAAACCCGAACGAAACCCTTACGAAACGGCACGGGCAGCCCGCCGCCGCGCCTCGCCACCCCTTCAGGACCCCTTCCAGGCCTGGCGGGCCTGCCGGGCGCCGGGCCTTGGGGCCGGCCGAGCCATTCACGGTGCCGGCATTAAAACTAAGGCCAACATTTGCGTATGCAAAGCATCCAGGGGCGAGGGGTGGGTGAAAGGGGGTGGGGGCGGCCGGAGGGGCGCGGAAGGGGAAGGGGGGAGGTGCAAGGCCAATCGATACATGCCCAGCCAGGCCAGCCAGGCCTAGTACTCCAGCCGCGGCAGGCGCTCGCGGCCACGGCGGCCAGCCATCGGCCAAAGCCCGAAATGAAAGGGAGAAGAGGGTGGGGGACTAAGCCGACCCGCCACGCTCCAAATCTAGATCACCCTCATCGCCCAGGAAATAGAATCCACCGGCGCGCCACTGTAAAATCCCCCCGGCAGCGTCTAGGACTGGCGCACTTTCTAGAGCAGCGCCACGCCGGCCTGGACGGACGGCGCCCCTTCATTCCAATCTTTTACAATCCATAAATGCGGGCCCGGCCCGGCCGCTGCACCAGGACCATGCCGGGACCCGGCCCCGTCGACTCGCCGTCTCTCTCGCACCCTCGCGGAACGCCGGGACGCCCCGCGAGAGCGACAGAGAGGAAAGCCCCGCGCCTTCCGCGGACTGCCCAGTCGGCCCACGTCCGCGCTCAGCGCTGCGCGTACAGTACTTACAGTGCAGCTTGCTCCCCACACGGCGGACCGAGGAAGCAGCCCCAACCTCGCCTTCCACGTAAACTCCGGGAGGGAAACCCCGAGCGCGCGTCGCCAGAAGCAGCCCGGAAAATTCCACCCGAAAACTACGGCCCGCCGGGAGGATTACTAGTACCGGGGACGAGGGCGCCAGGGCTGCCCGGCGCAGCCCAGCGCCCCTTCGCCGCGCCGGCCGAAAAAAAAAGTGGGAAAAAGAAAGGCCAATGTAATCTCCTCGAACTTATCGCCGCAGAGGGGACGGACAACTGCGCGCAGATTTTCGGCGCGCGGCGCGTACAAGCAATCCACTGACTTTGAGTTTCCTTTTCCACCCTTTGCCCCGATCACGCGTGTCTCGCGCCCTCGGACTCCAATTTTCCGCGCCCAAACTGCCGACTCCGGGGCGCGCCGCAACGCGCCACGCGAGGCCGCCGAGCCCGAAACACCCGCGAGCCACGCGACTGTCGGTGTCGCGTTGCGACGCCGCTGACGCGACGTCTGCCGGCCAGAGTGCCGCCTTGGCGCCTTTTCAAACTTCCGTCGACCGTTTTACAGTGAACGCGTGTGGTTCAAATCGCCACGCCAACCGAGGCGCAGTGGGCCGGAAGGCCGGTGCGGCGGCCAAAATTCTTGACGCGTTTAGAGCTCTAGGGTCGCGAAGTGGGACTCGAACCGAACGTGTGACCCCACCAATGGATTGCTCTCCGAACGAGGAATCCATCGGTGGGGTCACACGTTCGGTTCGAATACCATTTAGCGACTCTGGAGCTCAAAGCGCGGTTAGAATTTGGCCGCCTGCACCGGTCTTCTGGCCCACTGTGCGAACCGAATTCCGCCGAGGCAGGCGTTCTGTCGGAGCTGACGTCCGCAGGGGGCGCACCGGGCCGAGCCCCCTACACTTTTCGACGCCCCGATGCTCTAGCAACACCTTTATAACCGACGCCCACTGGGGTTCGTCGCCGATTGATCAATGTGTGCATCATCGCGACGACTGGCACGAGTGGGTGGGCGGTGACGTCCTGTCCCGTCACGTCAACCCCCTCCCCTCCCCCCAGCCGTCCAGCTGACGGACCCACCCCGCCGAGGGAAGAGAGAGACAGACAGACAGACAGGACAGGGGTTGCGGTTATGGCGCGGCGGGGGCCAGCACCAAGCACTGACCTACGCCACCATCCCCGTCATGTGCTCCAGGTGGCCGAAGGCCAGGGCAGCAAGGCGCTACCTGGGCGATGCGAAACCGCCCTCATGCCCGCCGTGACGCGCCGTGACGACCAACAATCAACAGGTCCTGTCGCGGCACCACTCTGATAATTACCCAATCAGCGTCACACCGCCAAACCGCCCCCGCCCTCTGTCCCACTCGCGGACCACGAGTGCGAGAGAGACGAGATGTGAATCACACAGCCGGCGAACGCCCACGCAGTCGCCAGAGGGGCAGGACGACAAGCAACCACCCCGCGCAGATAAGATAAAAAACTTGGCGACCAAACTTGGCAGGCCGGGTTGAGTCAAGAACCGCGTGTACAACCGAGATTACAACCCAACAACAATGCTCTGGCGATCGATAGCCAGAGCACTACTAAACGAGCCAGGCGCTCGCAGAGCTAATCGAACAGTCAAATTGAAGCTATTCTTGGCCAAGTTACCCAATGCCCTCTGTGAAAATAACGCCACAGGCCAACTTTAACTAGCAAACGAGGTCCTTTTCTGGACTGAGGGGCACACCGACATGCATGACAAACTTGTGCAAAACTCACCTTCCACCGCTCGGCGCACTTCTTGGAGAACTCGGCGAACACGACGTTCTCGTCAGGGTGCTGCTTCTTGTGCTCCTCCCTGCAGGTCTGGACGAAGAAGGCATAAGCCGTCATGCGCCCACGGGGCTTGGCGTCCTTGCGTGGCATTTTTCCTCGATTCTGTACACACCAACGGAACCACTTTAGACCACGGGTTACAACAAGTTACACAGGGATCGACACGACTGCCGAATCAACTCGGCCAACTGAAAAATGACTTTCCAAGACCGTCGAAACGATTCTGGCAAGGGACCTATTACAACGCAGCCAGCTAGGAATGACGTTAGAAGTACAAAAAACAAGGCTAGGGCCACTTGGCCCCCCCAGAGCCACCATTGACAAGAATCTAATTTTGGCAGCGAGTGCAGCAAACGCCTGACGCACCCACAAGGCCACTCTTGACAAACGGTAAAATGAGCCCGCCAAGGACAAGGCCACACTTGAGACACCAGGAACTTTGACAGGGCTATTTAGAGCAATTGAACATTACGTTGCAACGCCGTCCTTGGGCAAATCAAGACAAGGCGATGGCAGTGCGTCAACAAACATGGCACCACGGCCCATGGCGCACAGACCCACGTGGCCGGCAAGGCGTGGCGTCCAAATGCGCCCACACTAGAAACATGACACACATCACACAACACACCCCGCGGTCGCCAACCTACCATCATCTGCTGCTGCATTCCCAGGTTTGTATTGACATTCTGGTAGTTTACGCTAGGTGGGTTTTGCATGCCCGGTGTGTTCCACCACTGATTGTTCTGCTGCTGCACCACATGGCCGCCCTGCTGGACAGCGTGCTGCTGCTGCAGCTGCCCGGCAATGGACGTGTTAATAGTGTTCACAGTGCCGAGGTCGTACGACGACGACGAGACGGCGGCGGCCGGGTTTTGAAACGAGCTGGCCATCTTGTAGGAGAAGAGCTGCTGGTTCTGCTGCTGGATCTGCGCAGCCAGTTCGTTTTGCTGCTGCTGCTGTTGCTGCAGCTGCGCGGCAAGCTGCTGCTGGTGCTGTGCCGCCAGCTGGTGCTGCAGCGAGGCGAGCCCCGCGGCCTGCTGCTGCTGGTCTTGCCACCACACTGGGTCCTCGCGGCCAGGGCCGGGGCCGTGGGCGCCCCACGCGCCGCGGTGGTCAGACATGGTTAAGTTCGAACGTTCAACTCAAGCCAGCGAAGCCAGCGTAGCTAGCGAGCGAGCGTCGCAGCGAGGAAACTTCTGCAGCCCTAGCGTTGCCGCTGAGCGCGCGCGCGCTGCCTCCGCCGGCCTCCGCCGCAGCAACGCGGGCAACGCCGCACAAAGGAAAAGGAGCCGCCGTGGCCGCCGCCGTCCCAAGCCAACGATGGCGGACGCGCCGACGGGATGGCAGGGCCGATGGGGCCGATGGCACACTGCGGAAGCGTCCCGCAGCGTTTCGGCCGACTCGTTGAGCCGTGGCACTGAGCACTGACACAAGCACTGGGTACTACCGCTCCAAGCACCACCCCACAGCACCACCCTCGCACACACACTAGCACAGCACAGTTGCAAACTCGCGGGGCGTCGTCACATCTTCGCGCGCACGCACTTTCGACGCGGTCGGCCGTCTCGGTGGGCCGATGGCGGTCGGTCCGAACTCAGGAAGGCTTGCCTGGCTTGGCTACACAAAGCAAGACCTTGGCTACGACGCTACAATCCCGACTACTAGCCCCGGCCCCGGGCTGCTCCACTGTGGCGGAGAGAGACTGGGCTGGCGAGGCTTGGGTAGCGAGGCGTGGCGTGGCGCAGCGTAGCTGCCAAGTGGACGCGCGGCACTGCGCGGCTCGGCGGCGTGGCTAGTCTGGCAACGTCGCAGACGGTGGAACAGTGGCGCCCCCAGCGATAGCCCGGCCGGCATTCCAACTACCAAGGAGCGGTGCGCGCAGCGCGGCGGCCTGGCTCGGCTCGAAGCAGGCCGAAGCAGCCCAAGCCGAAGCCCGCTTGGCTGCCTGCTACGCCAGGCCCCGGCCCCTACCGGCCCCCGGCCCGGCGCTCAAACCGCTCGATATACTTGTCTCTCTCTTTCTCAGCCCGCCCGGCCGACCGGGCCGTGGCGAGCCGCGCCGCCAAGCAACCCCCTTCGGCTGCTTCGGCCGTTTCACCGTTTCACCCACCGACGGCCCCTAGACCCAAATTTGAACGGCGGGGTAGGGCCGGCGAGCCCCGTCCCGGCCGTCCCGGCGGAAGGCGAGCGAGTGCCGCCCGGCGCCAAGCGCGGCAAGCCTGGCCGGGCAAGCGCGCCAAGACGACGGGGCGCGCGCCAACGCCAGCAACGGCCAACGCGTGGAACGTCGGAACGCCACCCCAGGCAGCACCGCGACGACGCCTCGACTTACCTAAGCCCGACAGGGCCGGCAGGCGAGGCAAGCGGAGAGCACGGCGCGAGGCGAGAGCAGGGCGAGCAGGCGCGGCACTGAAGTAGCCAGACTGCCTGAGCCAGCGAAGCCAGCGTGCGCTCGGCAAGGCGTAGCAGCACACGCGAGACGGAGTCTGGCAAGCCGGCGAAGCAAGCGAAGCCACTGGCGACGCACAAGCCCGGCGCGGAGTGCAGTCCGTCTCACCTTGATAATGCATCGCCCGCCTTGCCTGGCTCTGCCTGCCCGGCCCATCACACGGTCCCGCCCAGTCAGCACGGCCTGCCTTGCCCGCCATCGCCATGCAGGCCCAGCCTGTGGCCCAGCCCGCCATCGCCCGCTGCACGCTCCGCTTTTCGCGCCAAAACACCCGTCAGGTGTTCTATGCAGGGATGCCAAGCGTTGCCATGGCGACAGCCCGCCGAAGGACGCCCATTGGCCAACGGAAGCAGCCAGCCCCGGCTGCCTTCGGCTGCCCCGGCCCGGGGGGAGTGGGAGCGAGAGGGATGCTCGCACGTAGAGGGAGGAAAGCGTTTGCTTCGGGGTGTAATAAACTGCCCGGGTCCCCCCGCCACCGAGCTGGCAAGGGAGGGAAAGAGAAAGAAAAAAAACGGCGCATTGCGTAACGAACGAACGAAAGCAAATGAACAGAACGATGGGAACACTTCCATCCCTCCAAAACAGCCCTCTGAAAACGAAAAATCATTCAGGGACATTCATTCATTCATTCCTTCACTCATTCAAAGACCTCCTAGAAAATGAAAGACCAATATACCAACAGACCAATATAAAACAATAAAAATCTTGCATGAATCTGGAAACCTGGAAACGCTAAGTAGGACACTGAACATATACATGAAGCCTGAAAACAATTAAGTCATACCCTTCGCAAGCATAGCATAGATTTCTGAACTATCAGTGTGAAAAAAAAAGAACTGCTGGACATAGAAAACACCAGGACACAGAACAGGATTACGATTTCATATGACACTGCAAGCGGCTCTCGTCGCCAACACTGAACTACATACAGTATAGTCTACTGAAGTGGGTACCAGAAATAATGAATGACTGCAATTTGCCTAATTTTACACTTCAGGTCAAGCAATAAATTAATAAAACAAAACAAAATGAATATTAAAAGAACTCAGCATTCCAATTTAGTGAAAGCACAATTGATTTTCTGAAAGGGGATCTATTGGCAAAATAAAAATGTAAATAAAAATTTTGCAAACGTTATCAAAATTGCAATACAGAAAATTCGAAAACTATTGCGGCATTCAAAAATGCAAGACGCTAAAATTGCAGTCTAAAAGCACTCGTTAAGCCGTTTTGAAGATGGAGGACTGTCACGTCACACGAGGGGGCAGTCATAATTAGCCCCAGGGCCCAAACATTCACTGAAAGTACCAATTTCTAAAATACACTGGTACAATGTAATGGTGCAATGGTATTAAATATATTTTAACGTGTAAAAATAAAGTAATAATAAGGTCTGGAGGAACAACGTTCGAAGGCAGTTTCATACAGAGTGACATCAATCATCTCAAAAAGACATGGTCGAGAAAAAGAATTCACCAATTAAGAAAGAATGGCAATGAAGCAACTTCGAGGTTATGGTATTTGTGATCAAACATTTACACTTCAGTTCCACAAAAATCCAGGTTGCTGATGACAGCCATACATTTAATACCATAACCATCGTTTGACCTTCATGTCCCCTTTCCTCTGAGTGAAAGAATAGAAAAGATCGCCATTTTGCTTTTAAAAAAATCGTTAACGACCGCACATTTACTAAATTTAATTTGCCGAGGGCCCTAACCCCCGAGGTACCTTTAACGCAAATCAGTACCATCCGCCCCGCGCAGCCAGCAAGCCGAAACCTACGATCACCCTAGCCCTAATTTCGTGAAAAAATAGGACAAAGAGAGGTCAATAGCTCATTTTATGACTCAAACTAACGTTAATTTAATGCTCAGGCATCCCCGCTTGTTCAACTTAAGACCGTGTCACTGTTGTTCAACAAAATTTGAACATTTCAAATCCCCGTATACGAACCTCCGTAATGCTACACACGTAAGGCCCATAAGGATATAAAGGCCGGGCTGACTGGCTGGCGATGGGCCGGGGCTAGGAACTCCAACAGCTGCCATTCTCTCTACGGCCAACCGTTTCACCGCGGAAAACCCACCACCTACATCACTTTACTCACCGCAGCTACGCGCAAAAATTAGCTCCAAAATTCAACCGCGATTCCGCCGAAGGACAATGGCCAGCCGCGATGCGAAAGAGACGAAACGCCGCTTTCATTCAGACCAACCCGAGCCCTATGCTTTGCTTATGGCAGCCATTGCTTTGACGGTTTCAAATACAACGTAGCCATTCCCATATTTTACTCGTATACTTCGCAAGTACGGTCAATATCACTGCTTACCTAAGTAGGTTCGACAAATTTCAGAGCTTCGATTCTGAGTAACACAACTTCTGACAACACAAGAAAGCACGAATATAAAATAATCCTACCTGTGTTGACTCGGTATACCAGCGAACAGAGACTAGCGACCCCACGCTACTGCACTACAACGTGAGCAAAGCATAGGGAGCCCAGGCGGCCTGCCATTGGCTGGATTCGGATTCCGCGCCAAGATTCGGCCAATCAGGGAGCGCGTTGCTGACAATGAAAGCGCGTCCCACCGGCCAATGGCAGGCCCGCTCTCATACGGGCGGCAAATAATTTTAAATACACAAAGCAGACGAAAGTTTTACGTTACGAGAAAATAGAAATGAAACCTATGTTAAGTGGAGGCAGTAATATTACAATCCGTAACTTAATTGAATTTCAGTTTCTAGCTGATGGTCAATTTAGCGGAGCTTTACCAGCTCGCCAATCTAAAAGGATGTGCGAATTAGTGGTGCATTTGATTAGAGTCTCCTCGTTAGGCCAACCAGAAAGCTGTTCTTCTACTTTTCTTTTTACCCGAGAGTCACAACAACAACTGAATCTGCGGCCCTCTGCCCTCTGCTACGAAAGTCTTGCTCTCTGACGACGCGGTGTGTTTGAGTATTTTCGACTGTTTGCTGTGCATTTGTGGAGTTTTCGTCCTCTGCGACTCGTACACCACGTGAGTGACTGCTGTTTGTGTGTTTGTTAGGACTTTCGAGAGTTCGGGAGTGAAAATTGGGTTGCTCCGATAGGAAGCCCATTATCTGCTTGCGGTGTGTCACGTTTTTAGCAGAAGCAGAAACACAAGTGCACTGTTCCGAGGGTTTCTGCGGCCGAGGTAGTTTGCTCCAGAGAAATTCGCTGAGGGCTGAGGCCACCTTAAGCTGCGCGTGCCTGTGCCAGCGTTAAAACTGCTTTGTTCCTGCAGTGTCTGTGAAAGTGAGGTGTCTGCCTCCGAGCCGCTGTTGCTGATCGTGCGAACGCGAACGCGTTTCGAGCTTAGCAAATCGTGGAAGCGCAGGTCCAGGGCCGCTCTCTACATCTGCCTCCAGTTTGGATAACACGCCGCTGGCTGTTGACTCCCGCAGCTTCGCCATGGGTGTGCGTTCTGCTTTCTGCAGGCCTGGCGTCTGCCGCTACTGCTGTGTCGTCAACGCGTTGGTCGCCGTGACAATATGGGTTGGGGTAACCCTCCCGCTGCATGCCCGTTGCTGCTTGCAAACCGCCGCAGTCGCCGTTGTAGGGCGCAAAGAAACGGGCAGAGAAGTGTTCATTTATCAGTGTAAGTGGCAGGTGTTGTGTGGGTCTCAGCCTGCTGCTGGGTGGCTCTTCTGACCTTGGTGCTATCACTGAGTCGCACTGCTGGCAGGGCACATTTCACGTCAAGTTTTAATTTCTGTGAATGGCGGTGCTTGTAGTATGCAGTGATTGCTCCGATGAACATTTTACAATCATTGTTGAGCAAATTTTGTTCAAGCTTGCGGAGCTTTTGTCGAGGGTTCCGTGGTGCATGAGGATGATTCCTTTTCCCTCTAGCTCGACATTTAGCTTCATCTGTCGTCTTTTCTGTTTTCAGATCTTGTTCAAGATGAATGGGTTCAGCACAGGAGAGGAAGACTCTCGAGGCGCTCCCGACCAGGTCTGCTGTCTGGTGGATGAGGGGGACAGGTGCAAACGCATCGCTGGCAATGCCTCCTACAGCAAACGCATTCAAAAGACTGTCACCCAGAGGCGACTCCGGTTACACTTGGATGCTATGGTGAGTGTCACTTTTATCCATGTGCATTTGTCCCATTTTCTTAGCGTTTTTGCTAATGGAAACGTTTTGTGATTGGCTAGGCACGGCACATATACATCTGCGACTACCACAAGAACATGATCCAGTGCGCAAGGACCAAAAGGCGAAGAAAGGATTCTGAAGATGACTCCAATGAAACAGACACTGATCTGCCTGAGGTGGACCTTTTCCAGCTCCAAGTTAATACCCTGCGCCGCTACAAGAAACATTACAAAGTTTCGACCCGACCAGGCCTCAACAAAGCTCAGCTTGCCGATGTAAGTATCAAAGATCACTGTAACATAATAACTATGAAAGAAGGCTTTGGTTCATTTTGTAACTACTGGAAATTTTTTTATTGATTGCAGGTGTTAATGAAGCACTTCAAAACAATACCAGTCATAGAAAAGGAGGCTTTGACATTTTTCATTTACACTGTTAAGTCAAATAGCAATAAACTTGAACAGAGGAACGGTGACTCCATTTGAAATAATGTACCACTAGATTGTAGGTAGGTTTTAATAAATTTTATTTTATCATATAATTTATATGTACTAAAGTATTTTGTTTTCTTTTAAAAGAAATTTTATCCTTTTAACTAAAAGGATGCCATAGGCACTATGAACTGTATTTGTTATTGCTCCTTTTCTAATTGTTTGTCAAGCTTCTCATCATGGAGAAATAAGAAACTTATGAATTTGTTATATTGATGTAGAACCTACTTTGTATCTATCATTACATGGTTTCTAACCAGCCTAATCTGGCCCCCTAGTCTTGTTTGAATTGACTTGTGTTCATGATCTTGAAGATTGTTCTGCAGTTCTCAAATTCTGCATTTTATAATGTTACTCAGTGTCATACTATTGGTTCTGTTGAGTTTATGATGAAGTGTTATAAATTGTGAGAGTTAGTGTAGCCTTGCTAAAATCACTAAAAGTCTTCAATTGACATAAAGCTTTAATAATCTTCTATGTGATCATTTACACATTAAGTCTATCTGCTATTTGTCTTCTTTTATATCATCAAGTATGTAGTGAAGAAGTTAAATGCTGCTCTCAGATATGACAGGGTAGTTTCTACTTCCGTAGTATTGCTAGAATCTTCTATGCTTGCTTACCAGCAGTAGTTCACACTTATGATCATTGCACTCATTCCTCTTGTAAGCTTAGTATTCTTTTTTTAAAAAAAAACAGTGGCTTTTTGTTGACGCTCTAGGCTTGTAAAAATTTTCTCTCAGAAGGGCTGGGGAAACATCAATTACTTTTAAGGTTGCAAAGGTGTGATATCATGTTACGACAGTTACAGCTATGAGTATTGACTGTGCCATGTTGATGCAATTGTTGTTTTATTTTATTGTTGGCCTTACTCTTCCTACTAATAAGCGGAGACTGCTTATTGTAGCTTTGTGGTTGAAGGTCGCTCTTGCCTGCCACATGGTGCTCAATCTCATGGTTACCTGGCTATATGTAAGTGGTTTTCATTCCACCCAAGAGTGCTTCCTTCTGAGTAACATAAAATTGGCGGCCATCAACTTAGATGAGCCCTGTAAGGTTTTGTTTACATTAAGTAACTGATAAGTAAAATGGCTATGAATTCATAATATTTTATGAGGAATTAGTATTTCAAATGTATCTCATTAATTACTTCAATCACTTTTGAAATAGTATTTTTTGTTGCTTTTAAATTTATGGTTGTCCATTCATTGTTTTATGTTCTTGGAGGCAATTTTGTGTTCATCAATTTTGATGTATCTGAAGCTAGCTAGCTAGCTGATAAGTAGCTTTATTTAGACCTATATTTGTAGATTTGTATTGGTGGGTTTTGTTCACTGTGATTCAGATACTGTCCACTAAAATATTTGTTATCACAGTTGAGGCCAAGCTCGTTCTGGACACTTTTTCTGAATGTTTGTTAATTTTTACCAATCCTTTATTTTTTTGTGTGTCTGAGACCATTGCTGGAGGAATAATACCCTACTATATTTATATGCACAATTGAAAAACTGAATACCTTAATGAACTTTATGAGTTACCATCTTTTACTTATGTCAGTTCATAATGTAGAGGGCTGTGTCCAGTAGACAAGCTATACTTTAAAGCCATAGAAGTAGGATGAGAATGAGACATTTCCAATCAACTTAATTCTTGTTCTACATTGCCCATTAAATAAACTTCATCATGTGTATTTGTGCCCAATTTTTTCTTCCCATCTTCTTACTTAAATTAATGCTTAGTTGAAATGTCTATAAATATATTTTCGGGATTGTACAAGTCAAAGAATGGAAACAGCAAGTAGTAACCTAGAGAGAACATACCAAAATACAAATAGAAAAGGATGAATCAACATAACATTCTCTCTAAGTCAGTAAAAGGTCTGATAAAAAAATATTTTCAAAAATCCACTACTAGGCAACCAAAATCACAGATAAACATCACATTTTTATGACAGATATTAAAAGAGCACCCAACATGCAGGTTGCATAATACAAATTTGAACAGCAGCATTAAAAATCTTCAATGTTGCAAGCATTTAGAACTCGGATTGAATCTTTTAATACTTATGGAATGACCACAGTTAAAACAATTCCACTCATACCAGCTGACTGTAGCCTTATTAAGTCATTCATAAGGCAGCGCTGAACCTTGAGGTGGTAGATATGGCAAAAATAAGTAACAAATCACAAACGTCATGAATGAAATCATGAGTAAAATGCATAAACCATGAAAAAATTAACAGAAAAACTTTAAATCAGTCTTGAAAGTACGTATGTTCTTGATACATCGAACACTGTGTCAACCATTAGACATCACTTTTGAAAACACAATTGCCTGCAATCCAGGTAGACTTCAAGGATAGGTTCTTGGAATTGAGCATGACAAAATCAGCATCAGCTCCGTAAGCAAGAGTGCCTATTTTTTTTTCCAATCCCAACACTCTGGCAGGGTGCAGAGTGGCAGCCTCAATAGCTTCAACTGTGCTGCAACCTTTTTATAAAAAAGATGTAAAAAGAGAGTGTAAATTTGATTGAAAATATGAGAGTTAACAAAGGATTCAGCCTGCTCCAAGTTACCTGTTGCCTCCTTGAAATGCTTAACACACTCAATCATATTTGCAATACTACCACAGAGTGTATTTGTGCCAGCTATAAATGCCTTTTGATCACGAATCTCAATTGTGTACTGGCCAATTTTGTGAGTACCTTCTTCTAATCCCAAAGCTGAAATAGCATCAGTCACCAGTACCAGTCCTGATAATGGCATTAAGATATATTAGTTAAACAAAGTAAAGTATAATGAAGCACAGAACAGAAACCAAATCAGTAGTATAAAATACAAGCAAACCTTTCGGATGAACTCTGTGCGCAATACGAAGAGCTGCAGGATGGGTGTGCACACCATCAGAAATAATACCATAAAAAATAGACCGCCCTTCAGGCATATCTGATGATAGCAGACCTACTAATCCTGGGTCTCTATGGTGAAACTAAAAAAAAATTAAAGTTGAGAAAAATAAAAATGATAGAAATTTTGGGGAGTTTCAAAAATGAAACAGTTGAACTTTATGAAACTTACTGGGAGCATTGCATTGAATAGGTGAGTTATGAATGATGCACCACAATGCACTGCCTCAAGGCCCTCTTGCAAACTTGCCATGGAATGACCTGATCAACGCAAAACAGAATTAGGCAGATTAAAAGAATGAACACCTACCAACAAACAGTGTTTTGTTTTCTTTTTTTTCAAATTTCTATTGCTTTTTTTCTATTTCTTTTTTTTTTGCCAACCTAAGGAGACCGTAACTCCCTGCTTTGTCAACCATTCTGTAACATCAGTTGCTCCAGGTAGCTCAGGAGCTAGTGTGACAATGCAGGCGTTCTCCACAGACCCGTACACATTCAGGAGAGATTTTGGACCCTGCAATCACAGAAACATAAGTAACTCGAGTGAAACCAGTTTCAGTTTGCTTAGTTAACTACATTCCCAGCTATCTGTGAAGACAGACCTCTTTGAGATCAGTAATGGTATTCTCATCATGGGCTCCTTTCTTTAGTTTGTTGATAAATGGTCCTTCCAAATGGGCTCCAAGGATGGAGGCCCCATGCAGTCCACCTTGAGTTGGCTTCAACTTAGGAAGCACCTGAAAAATACAATTGGAACTTGAGAGGAAACCACAAAAGAGAATAAATGTGACAAGGACGACACAAACCTTCTGGTAAACCTCAGGGGTGGATGTCACAAGGGTTGGACAGAAAGATGTGACACCATGAGCGAGAAGGCCACGGGCCACTATCTCAATGCCTGCTTCAATATTTTCCGTGTTGTGAGAAAAATCAATTCCGAACCCACCTTTCCAAGAAAAAGGGAAGTTAGTGTCATTCTTCGGTTTAACAGCACTAAGAAACGAACAGCAATAGTTACCATTAACTTGTAGTTCAATAAAACCTGGTGCAATCAGGGCCCCGGCACAATCATGTTTTTGACTTGCAGGTGTTTTCTCGTCAAAGAAAACCTTTTCTGGATCAATGAATTTACCGTTCCTAACCCACAGATCATCCTTTACAACAGAATGATCTCGAATAATAAAACAGTTGGTGAATTGCAGAATGAAATCACGACTCATTTTCGGCCAGTGGCTCCGTGCAGAGACTAAAGTTCAACTGGACCTCCAAAGTTTCACTGACAAGCCTCACATGAATGTAGGACACTTTATCAGCTGCTCGTAGCAGCCCAATTAAAACGTAAACGTAAACAAACGCCTCAGTTTTTCATACATAGTTCATGAATTTGCCATACTGTGAACGTCAGTCACTAGAAATAAAAAGTACACTGCAAAGCAGTGACACGGAGTGCTTATTTTAGACTGTCATCAATTTTGCACGGAGCAGAAGAGAGTCAGGGACAGCATCTTGACGTTGCTGCGTCGTCTTCGTCTTTCCAACTTGATTTCTATCCCTGCACTCTGCATGTTGGCACCACTGATCACCCTAGAAATCGCGTTGCTCCGTTGGCAAGGCTGTTCAAGAACGACAAACTCCATTTTGTGACCGTGATCCCGTCATCCTGTCTCGCGAAAAGTGCCTTTTACCCCTGTCCCCCTCGGATTTAATGCTTAAAGAGGTGTTTGCGCTCAAGAACAATGACTATTCTTTCCAAAAAGAAACCCTCTCAAGGGAAGTCCGAGCCAGAGGCCGCGGAGACGTCCAGCCATCATGCTGGGGCACTCGCTCACGGATCGATGCCCAATCACTCCCAGGTTCGTGTATTGATAGGTTAGATAGAGCCATATTTGGTCGCAAACAGGTCATCTGAGCCCCTGGCCGTCTTGTCAGGGAGTTCTTCTTGGACTTCCCCGGTCTCCCAGCTTTCGCACTGCCTGTCAGAGCACACGCCCATATGTGCCTTGTTTACTTTGTGTAGCTTATGGGTGGGCCATAGAGGCTCATCTAGTTGCCCCATGCCTGCTTATCTGTGGAATCTAAACTGTGCCAAGGATTCTTTAGGTTTCACCACTTCCTGGTTTATGAGGATAGGGACACAACCCCAGTCTGACAGTGACTGTTCACCTGTTTCAATAACCCACTTTACATTGATGAATGATGTGATTAATGGCCTTCATCCTGTGTCATCCTATTTCATCATTCTAGAGTCAGGAAGGGAAACTTGGCCCTCGATTGTGTTAAGTTTGTTCACTAGGTGGGGCCTCCTGTTTATAACCACGTATGTTTCTTCGTTTTAGCAAAACAATGAGCAGATGAACCATGAACGCCTGGGCTCTCCCTTGTGCTGGCCGCTCCAGAGGGAAGAAAAGCGTCCTCAATTGAGCTCCAGCTCCCATGATAGTGGACCAAGTCACAGCAAGCGGAGGCATCGAGCAAGCCCACACAGGTACCATACTTTGGTTCATTACTTTGAAAGGTTTGTTTTGTCTTGGAAGTGTGTTTGCAACCTCTGAAGGTGCATTGCTATTTGCAGGACCACTCGCAGCAAGCTTAGAGACAGAGAGCGCAATGGAACTGCATCACCGCCTCCAAGTTCTTCCCCAAAAGCAGGCCCCTCTGATGCCCAGCATATGGAAGATTATAACAACACTTCCTGCGGTTATAACAGTGGGGATGAATATGGTTTCTGTGAATCTCAGGATTTGACAGAAGCGGAATGGCAGGAGGTAAGTTGTTATTAAAATAATAAAATTTGAGCCAGTACGAGGCGGGAGCCAACATTCTGGAAGATCTTTATTTACCTCTACCTTTCAGTTCCTGAATGAACACACTTTTATTTTCTTGATTGCAGAGAGACCGCCGCTTTGAGAAACTAATGCGTAAGCGAGGCTTTGTTATCAAGCAGATGGGTCAGGATGGAGCATGCCTTTTCAGGTCTATTGCAGATCAAGTATATGGAGACCAAGAGATGCATGCTGTTGTCCGTAATCATTGCATGGACTACATTGTAAGAACAATTTTCTGCTCCCTCTGGATGTTTTGTTCTTTTAAAATTGTGGTCTGTAACCCACATCATAATTTGTCTTTAAATTATTCCAGTCTGCAAACAGAGATTTCTTCTCTCAATACTTGACTGAGGATGTTGGATCTTATGTGAATCGGAAACGAAAACACAATGTGCATGGCAATCACATTGAGATGCAAGCTATGAGTGAAATGTACAATCGACCTGTTGAGGTTTTCTGCTACCGCAGTGGTAAGCAGTTTTTTTGCAATCCTGTACTTCTGATTGAATAACATCTCTGCCAAGTGCCTCTTTCTCACCCTTATGTGTGCAATTCCAGATCCCATAAACACATTTCATGGCATGCATAAAACAGACAATGATCCGATACGCTTGTCTTATCAGCGAGGTAGCCATTACAATAGCATTGTTGACCCATACAAAGCAACTATCGGTGTGGGTTTGGGTTTACCAGGGTATTCCCCTGGCTCAGCAGATCGCAATTTGATCAAAGATGTCACTCGCCATAGTGAAGAGTTAGCAATTGAGCAGGTACATTGAGAGCAAACCTTGCAAATTTAATGAACATGTACAAGAAGCAAGTTCACTTCTTTATTGGGTTTGTTTCTAGACTATGCTGGAGGACAAGCTACGCGCCACTGACTGGGAGGCAACAAATGAAGCCATTGAAGAACAGGTGGCCAGGGACAGTTATCTGCAGTGGATCAAAGACAATGAAAAGCGTGATAAAGCTCTTCACTCTGCAACTGCCACTTCAAGTGCGACTGTGACTTCTTTGGAGCTCCGTCAGTCACCTCGACAATCGCCTCGAAGCCGCTTGAGTGTTAGCACTCCTCCGAGAAATTCCCCGCGGGCCTCTCCCCGCTCGTCGCCTTGCAGCAGCCGTGACGATCCCTCCCACTCGGTTGCATCCACATCAACGTCTAGTGACACATCGGGCTGCTCCACCTCGGCCAACAAATCGGAGGGCGACACCAATGGAAACCCAACAACAAGCCCTCCTCCAAGAGAGAATGTCAGTGATATTGAGGGTTTCAAATTGATGGAAACAGCATCCTTCTTGAATCTCTTGCCTCCTGAAATGTTTGGTATGTAATTATTGCGTCAGGCAGTGTTATCCTCATCTGAAGATATATTGTTGCTTCATTGCCCATTTCCTGTTTCTCTTTATCTTTCAGGTCTCAGTGAATGGGATGATGCTGGTATTCTGGCTCAGGTCCTTGCAACCTCTCAACAAGAGTACATTGATGGGCTGAAGAAGCGATCCCAGAGTGATGACCCTCAGCCATCTACTTCTTCTTCTGGGAGTATGTACGATTGTGAAGCAGGTCCTTCCACTCGGTAGCCTTACCAATCAAAATTCCTGTATATTATGAACATCATTTCAAGGACTGCTTTCTGAACTTCTTTCTTCAGGAAGTTGAATGTGTGTGTGTGTGTATGTGTGTCCGTCTGTTGTTGTTTTTTTTTTGTGTGTGGGTGTGTGAGTGCGAGTTGTTCCTTTTGAATACAGTTTTTGTTAGGCCCATTCAGGCTTGGGTTTGGTTCAATTGCAATAATTATTTGTTTGTTCTAGAGGGTTTTTTTCATGTTCTTTCTTATCCAGCATTATTAATTTAAGCAAAACTTTTCTTTTTGCCTTAGTTTGTGGAGCCAAATGCTACAGGGAGCAAATTGATTTTGTGTAAGCAGTTTGAGACTTATCAAACAGCTGATAGCTTTGGTTACCTAAACAATATTGTTTAAATCTCAGTCTAAAATTGGTTTCAGAATGTCTAATTAGACCAGTTTCTCATCTTTGTTTTGCACCAAGATGTCTAAATTTTTCGAGCTGTTTTACATTTCCTGGTGTGAGCAGTTTTGATGTCAAGTTTTAAAAGTGGGTTACTTATTTGCCATTTGTTTGTTTTTGTTTGTGTTGTTTCTTTTTTTTTTGTCAAAAAAAAAATCTTATCTTTGTGATATGTGATACCTACTAAATTGCATAAACATATGCATTCATGCTTTCTCAGATCAAGATAGAGTGTGAAATACTCAGTTGTAAGTCCTGGCCACTTCCATTGTTTCTTCACCAACTAATGTGTGATGTCTTGTCTATGATAACAGCTTCGTATTCAGAGTGTTTCAGTTCAGCCTCTGCCATTAGTGCATAAGCACATATTGGAGCTTGTCGAAAGTGTCTGGCAATTCCTCTGAAAGAGTTTTTGCTCATTACTGTGATTTAAAAAAATGTTATGTTCTATTCAAAGTTTGATACTGGAAATGGCCAGAAATCTGCATTTGGTTTACTTACACTTGTAAGTTAAATACTGCTGATATTCGTGATGTCTATTTAACTGGCTTCTGCTTTTTAACTTAAAATATCATATTCTATGTAGCTTGTTTCTTAAGGAAACATTCATGTAACATTGTGATTTAGTTCTATTTAAGACTCTCCTAAACTAATGTCGTCTTCTTTCAAAAGGAAATAATAATTTAATTGATCAAAAATTGTGAAGTTCTTTACTAGTCTACATTCAACAGATTCATTTGTTTGAACTGCAGGCAGAGGGTTGATTTTATTTCTTCCATTAGCTTTTTGACCTGTAATTGTCCCCAGTTGCAATAGATGCTCCAAGAGCACTGCCAATGAGATGGCGTTTCTCTGAGTGCCTGTGAACTCTGATTCATGTTACCTACCTTTATTTAATGTCATTGTTTTTCTGTTGTAAGTTTTATAGACTTGTTTTGGTTTATTGTATGCTTTTCTTCTGAAGGAAATACATGTCATAACATGTGAAATATTATCATACAATAGGTTGTGAAATTTTTAAGCAATATTTAAAATTAATATACAAAACACATGTACTTGTTTCTTAATTGCCCTCCATAACTTAAAAATCTGTGGAAAACTATCTATATGTGCAAAATCGCTCTGTTTCACTGTTCCATGATTGGTTTTGTAATTTGTGAATTGCACTTTGTATATACTCCCCTGCCACAAGCTAGTGGAAATACCAAAGCATCCTGTTGGATTTAAAATTGGAAATCTATTCATTTCTTGCATTGCATATTTTATTCCATTCAAAACTTTTGTTATGTTTGCTTACATTGGAATACTTTCCTTACTTCAAAGTTTATCTTTTAAAAGTCAGAAAAACTTAACTACCTTGAGATAAGCCTGTAGAATTTTTTTTTCCTTGTGGGATCAGAGCAGTGATGCAGAAAAATACTGTAGGTAAGCATTTGCAGATGTTCTTGCTCCATTCAAGCCCATGTGATGTTCCCAACCCTTCAACGGAGTTGCAGGGTAGAGAGAAATAAGGCGCTTATGCACCAAGATCTGTGATTATTTCGCTGGGTTTTAAGCCTCTGTAAGTGCAGAAAACATTCAAACCTTGCTTGTACTTTATGATAGTGTAGACAGTATGTTTAAAAATGTAGATGTTAGTTTTTCTTGAGTTCTTGAATGTTATATAGAGGCTTGAGCTTTAATTTGAAGATTTATACTGAATTCTTATATAGTTTATGATGTATCCCTGATAGATTATTGCTATGTACTGAAACGTATGTGCATGTATGAAAACGTGGACATGCCTTTATTGCATACTTTACTATTTATTTTATGTTTGCATCGATTCCTTAACCAGTCTGTAAGATTGGGAAAACATTGTGACTCCTTGGTCACAGTTTAGAAATGAGTTTCCTGACTTCTTTGTGTGTACATAGAGGAGGAAGACCTTCTCCTGTGGTTTCTGTAACTGCTCTGGAGTAACGCCTGCCTTGGATTCAGGAGCTCAATATTATCTTGTGAACGTCTTGCTCTGACTTTGTTTTTACAATATTATAAAGGAATGAGGACAAGCACATTTAAAATAAATAGATGGTTGTAAAATTATACCCAATGTTGTTATGTTTCACTTCATTCCAGTATCAATACTGGATCAATCAATATATTTAAGGGAAAACTGGGAGGAATTGTAATAAGTCTTTTAGTAATGAGTTTACTGATGCAGAATAGATACGTATTTTCATTATTAAAAAAAACATTAAACAACACTTCTGAACATGTAGAGCTAGTGCATTAACAAGTATGCTACAACATTTAGACTAGCAATCTGCTACCACAGTCACACATCATACAAAAATACCTGCGACAAACAACTAGAGTCCTCTTTCAAAAAGGCTCTCATGTTTATGTCATTAATGCTACAGGAGTTAATCAATGCTAACTTAATTTCCAAAACGGATCACAGTTAAATAACAGGTTTAAGGTAAATCACTTAAGTGTTCATGAATGAATAACAAATATTAAACTCTTTAAAGCAAAATTCTCAACAGCCAGCCAAAGAGAAGGCTGCCAATGGCTACACCTGACAGACAAAGTCTCATGGCTTTAAACCACTGAGGGTATCCAGGAGACGTGATATCTATGTAGGCTGAAGCACCCATTCCCGCAACAAGCGTCAGCGTGCCTATCCAGGGAGGCAATATCAAACTACCAAATGCCACCAAGGATAAAGACACACTCTGGCCCAAATTATCCCAGGATAGTTTTTGCTGACTGTTCTCAGGAACAGCAAAGCCCCATTTTACACCACCTAAAAACGATAAGATGCTTGCTCCATAAGCTAACTGAACAAATCCAAGATTTGGTAGGAATTCCCCATTGAGAAGAATAGCCAAAGGTGGGAACACAAAAGGGATTAACCCAGCAGCTCCATATGCAAGGGCAGGTTGGGGTGACTTTTTCACTTCTTGCCAACTGACTTGCGAAAGCATGTGCTTGTATCGTTTCTGAAATTCATCCATAACATCTGGCTTGTTATTAACAGAAGATGAATGAATTAAGCTTCGAGTTTCAAAGTTCTGTACACCACAAGTTTGAAGGAATCCATTGTAAGAATGTGGGTTTTTTGAAGTCCCAGAAACTGACAGCGGCGCGAGGTGAGACCAAGTAGCAGAGCAGGCGAGCTTGGGAGCGTGCACCTTTGAGCAGTTGAGAAGGCTCGTTGAGGAAAGTCGTTGAGCAGCAAATTTGAACATCTTGGAGGCCTGGAAGCAAACGACTTTTTGAGGTACAGTGGGAAAGATATTAAAAAAGTGAAGGTCTACTGTAGGGGAATAGAACACATTTAATTTAAGAAATGCTTCCCACACCCAACATGTTTAAACTGGAGGTGACTACATCAGGATAGTTAGTCCTTTAAGGGCTATTTCTAGTTCCAAGAAGCAAGATTGACAGCCATGGTGAATGCTACAACAATGCTTTGCACATCCATGGCAAGAAAACTATATAAGTCAAGAGGTTATTTCACGCGATGTTAACCATGGGGCAAGCATCGTTTTTGGAGCTTCACGATCAAATGTTCGTGCTTACCTGTCAAGTTCAAAATTACTAGAAATTCACAAAATTGCAGCAGGATTCGAGGGCGGAGGAGCCAGCAGTAAATTCCCTTCCGCTCACTGACTGGAGAACTCTCCCTCTCCTTCCGGTAGACCGTTATTTGCAGTCATCTGTAGGAAAAAAAATTATTTACATTACTTTATTGTTATTCCGAGCTTTGACACGTCGCCGAGCTGGACCCGATAAGTGCGTATTACCAAGCGTCGTTACTTGGTGAGAACAACCGACAGAGTACCGGAATTTAACAATAAATAATGATGCTAATGAAAGGAATGACGTCACTTCTTAAAGTCAAATCTTCCTAACGTGCGTGCGGCATCTGCCGCCATGGCGGAGCCTACTCCGTACCGGCTTTTGATAGACTGTAACGTTTCTTCAAAAAATAGTGATAAACATTATTTTCGGCTCCTGCTGCTTTTATTAAAATTTTAGTTCGTCTTGGGGAACAAAAGTCTCGTGGAGTGGTGAAAAGCGGAAAAGGGGACGGCAGAAAAGAAAGTTGGAGCGTTACACCCAAGAGTAGCTACGCCACTGACAGCGGTGGAGAGATGCAAGCAAGGTGTTCGTTGATCTGACAGGACAGGTGCACTGGGCACTGGACTCCATGTCCGTCTCTTGAACGTGGGCGTGTGAATGTAAATAAGTGTGCAACGGATAATATTTGCCGCGAAGAGACGCTGCGCAATGTTTGAAACTGAAAGTCTGAAACTTGTTTGATACAACGAATGGCTCTTGTCCGGCGAGCAGCAGCAGAGGGGAAGCAACCGTTGGGGAGATGATGAGTAAACTCTCTCGGCTCGGCTCGGTTTGATGTCAACATGGCCCCTGCTGCAGTAGGTTAGCCCTTTACCCTAGATTTCACGTCGACGCCTCTCTCGCCGTGGAGGATGTGAGTTTGAGATCGCCCGAGCTTCGATAGTGACGGAAGACTTAAATATGTCCTGAAAACTATGTCATAATGCAGAGGCCTGGCCAAAAGAGGCCCAATACCCCAAGTGTTTCGAAATGCCAAGCGGACTTAGACGCTAGTCACTGGTCTCAGGAGGTGAGAGAGGTTGTCGTACGCGCCAAGCAGGACGGCGCCGTCAATTTCGCTGTCCGCGGTGGGTCAGACCTGGGCGAGTTTGCCTGCGTGTTCGAGACGGAAGAGGGGTCCGGACTGTACGACGGCGACCTGCTTCTGGAAGTGCAGGGCGAGAAGGTCGCGGGCTACACCCAGCGGGACGTGGTCGCCTGGCTCAGTCACTGCTGCCGCAACGGCAACCCAGTCACCCTCAAGGCAGTCCGAGCTGGTAAGTGCCATCCGGAATGGACCCGTTGGCGTTCGCGCGCCGCTTTCGGGTCGCTGTGAGCCAATTCCACCTGTTTGCCTCGATTGGAAGGGTCCGGGCGGCGCCAGCGCCATTGCCGTATGTAGGCTGCTTGGCTGCACCCACCCGTAAAGAGGTCTCCGCTTTTACTCTCGCTCTGGGCCGTTTTCCGCAAGGAAATCGCCTCAAGTAGTCGTGCTGCACCACTGGCATGAAAACAAAATTCACTCGTTGGTGAAAGTTTCGCGGAATGTTGAAATTTGGCGTTTGTTTATGTTCTGATTTAAGGTTAGGGTGTGTATTGTGTTGTGATTTTTTGGCGATGCTGTATGCAGGCTTTGCTACCGCTTTGCTATGTAAAAGCTGTCATTGATTTTTTACTTGATGAATATCTTAGTCTGTAAGTGCGTCTTCCATATGCCCCTCTAAATATCTGGTTGGCAGAGGGCGAATCCATTTTCTCGATAACTTCTTGGAAAAGCTGTTGACATTTTCACCGTGTTTTACGGGTCAGTGAATCTAAATGCATCTTACCATCTTTATCTTTATTGCAGGTGCTGTTCCCAAAGATCTGAGAGTTTTCCTTAACACCCGCTTCCAACGAGGTTCAGTCGATCACGATTTGCAGAACACTATCAGGGACAATCTATACCTTCGAACAGTCCCCGTCACCACACGTCTACCAAGAGACGGAGAAGTGAATGGTGTAGACTACACATTTTTAAGTTTAGAAGAATTTGCTAAACTTGAAAGAGGTGGAAGTCTTCTTGAAAGCGGTATCTATGAGGGAAACCATTATGGAACGCCCAAACCATCAAAAGAGCCTTCTAGTGGTCCTGCATCTGCAAGCAGTGTGATCCCAGCAGCCACAGGGTTGTTTCCAGGGGCGCATCCCTCATCCGAAGGCAAGCGGAGAAGAAACAGGTCCAACGTCGAAGCCATGGCAGCGAAAAGCACAGAACCTGAAGCAGAATCTGATCATGCTCATGCAAATGCTCACACTCATGCTCACACCCATGCTCACGCCCATGCAGAGGCTCATCATCATAAATTTAATAATCATAATGCCCACAGTGAACTAAGTGACGTCAAAATGAATGGGTCGGGATCATTTCCTGATGCTCCCCCTAGTTACAATGATGGTCCAAGCCAGAGTCACCATACCTCTGGCGATGATATTGGTCCACTTCCACCAAACTGGGAAAAGGCTTTCACTGAAAGAGGCGAAGCCTATTTCATAGATCATAATACTGGAACTTCTCATTGGCTAGATCCTAGATTATCTAAGTTCCAAAAGAAGTCTTTAGAAGAATGCACTGAAGATGAACTACCCTATGGCTGGGAAAAAATTCATGATCCTCAGTATGGAACTTACTACATTGATCATGTAAACAGGCGTACTCAGTATGAGAATCCTGTAATTCAAGCTAAACGAGCTGTTAATGATTCTGGAACCCCTGGTAAGTCGATTGAAATGGACTTATTGATTACTTCAGATGATGAACTCTTTCGCACAGTGCTTCATAAATTTATCACGTTGCAGAAAGCCTTATTCAAGAGCTTGGAAGCGACGGGCAGTACCCTGTTCCGCCACCACCTCACAATGCGATGCACAACTCCCAGCAGCACCATCCCCTTGGTCCCCCTCAAAGTGTTTCTCACGGCTCAAATGCTGGAAGTGTGCCATCAACTCCATCCAAAAGACAAAACAGTTAGTGTTCTGAAGTCTTAAATTTTTTACTGTTAGTCCATCATTTTCTCAGATCTTTAACTTTGAAATGCTTTTTGTGTGTCCAGATTGCTCATCACGGGCATTTTTTACAAGAAATCCTATGGAGTTAGAGGGAGAACGTATCCATTCAACACTTATCAAATCTGCCAGAGGTCTTGGTTTTACGATTGTTGGTGGAGATGATCTTGAAGAAGAGTTTTTACAAATCAAGTCTGTGGTCCCAAATGGTTCAGCTTGGCTTGATGGAAAGCTCCAGACAGGTCAGTTCATTCTTCTTTTTAATTTTAGTAGAAGTGAACTGCCTATTATGTCTTGTTCTGTTTCTTATTGCTCTGTGTTACTGTTTTGGTTTCTGCAGGTGATGTGCTGGTCTATGTTAATGATACTTGTGTCCTGGGATTTACCCATCATGACATGGTCAGCATGTTCCAATCAATTGCTCCTGGGGAAACTGTGTCACTTGAAGTTTGTCGTGGCTATCCCTTGCCATTTGATCCCAATGATCCAAACACAGAAGTCGTAACAACAGTTGCTGTGAATGCTCCAGGTTTGTGGCTTTTCTCTGTACAGTAATTAAATAATAATAATAATAATGTTTTGTGTTTATGACATTGGTGTCATTGTTGGCTTATGACTTTTTTTCAGATCCTCATATTCCGGGAAATAACTCATACATGTACCACAATGGTGATGTAAAATCTGAACGGGGTTATCATTTCATGGAACCTGACGATCTTGCCAACAGCTCTGTTAAGTCAATGCCGGAGCTTTGTGACAGAATCGATCAAGGTGTTCCCATTCCTAGGCCGAACTCGACAGATACCCTCCTTGACCCTCCAGTGCCAGCCAAGCCAGAGTTTCTCACCATCTCTATTGTGAAAGGTGCAATGGGGTTTGGTTTCACTATTGCTGACAGTGCTTATGGACAAAAGGTGAAAAAAATCCTGGACAGACAGCGCTGTAAAACTTTACAAGAAGGAGATATACTGGTAGAAATTAACAATGTAAATGTACGTACAATGTGCCATGGAGATGTTGTTCAAGTGTTGAAAGATTGCCCACGGAATGTGGATGCAACTATAACTGTACAGAGAGGATCAAGTTCAAACAAGAACAAGGCCAGGAAGAAGGAAGATCTCGTGCTGCCTGGAGCAAGAAAAGCTTATCGCAGTAAAACTCCTACAGCTGACTTGTACAGTACTCAACCTAAAGAAGTTGTTCCAACCCGACCAAAAACACCCCTTGTAGATACAAGAATACGTGCAAAGACCCCTACCAATGTTGGATCCTGGATGCACAATGATCCAAGCCTGAAAGCAGACAGTGACATTGATAAAAATACTGATATTTTGCAAAGTCCGTCTATTGCTTCCCAGTACGATGGCTACCAAACAACAGCTTTTCCGTATCCCCATCCGCACTCGTATGACTTGAGCCAGCGACTTGCCAACACCTCCTTGAGAAGCCCAGATGAGTACAGTCGAAGCCACAGTCCGGGGAACGGATTGGACGATCCTGTGTCTCACAGAGGCCATTACCCTCCTCCCAATCAACTTTACTACAATGGCTATGGGAGTTATGATCCGGGTTATGGTTATGCCTATGATGCACAGACACCTACTGGCTATGCTCCTCATCCAAATCTGGATTATTACCCAAAGGGCAAAGAAAGCACCAGCTTTGAACACGAGCAGCCACTATCTAGCCTTGTATCCAGGTAATTTATTTGTTTGTATTCCTTTTATTTTTATTTTTTGGTGGTAATTGTGCACATCTCCTAAAATTGTGGTGTACCTTATGTCTGTAGGTACCCACGTGATCCTCGATGGATCGGTCTTGGTCCAGCTAGGGTATATCCTGCCGAGCCTGGGTTTGATTGGGTCGAAACACTGGTGACTCTTCAGAGACAGGAAACAGGATTTGGTTTCCGAATTGTTGGTGGGACTGAAGAGGGCTCCCAGGTAGGATCAACGGTGAGATCAATAAATGCACTGTGCCTGTGGCGTGAAGCCAACACAAGTGCCTCTTTGCATGGTTCATGAATCATAAATAAATTTTCTTAAATTTATTATGGTAATGGTACTTCAATTGCTGAGGCTTAATTTCAAGAGCTTATAGGAACTAAATTTCAGTCTCATTGGATAGGTTTTTAATACTGATGTGTTGGTTTTTTAAAAATTGGCCTTTAGTGGTCTTGCATGAGGAATGGTCATGGTCTTGGTCACATTGCCTTTTCTGTCCTTTCCTTGCTATCTTTGAAGGCAATGCATACATAACTGTTATCCAATGCCACAATGTTCCTAACTCAGATACTTTTATCTCCAGGTGTCTGTAGGCCACATTGTTCCTGGTGGGGCAGCAGACCTGGATGGCAGACTCTGTACTGGTGATGAGATGATGAGTGTGGATGGTCAGTCTGTCATCAACACATCTCATCACCATGTGGTGCAACTGATGGCGAGAGCTGCTGCCGCGGGACGTGTCACCCTGGGCATTCGCCGAAGGATTCCCTCCCATGGTAATTTTGGAAAGTTTCATCTCATGAATCTAACTCTTGAAGAACTCAATCTAAAGCTGCCGCTCTTTTTCCCTTTTTTTTTTAGATGTTCAAAGTTACGGTAGCAGACACGATGGTGGATACCCTTACGATGTTACTGTCACAAGAAGAGAAAATGAAGGCTTTGGTTTTGTTATTATATCTTCAGTCAATAAAATTGGCTCTACCATTGGTAATAGACTAAACTAGAAAATGTCATTTGATTGGTTGTAGTTTTGCATTTGTGTTGCTCTAATTATATTTGGTTACTTCTTTAGGTCGAATTATTGAAGGAAGTCCTGCAGAACGATGCAATCAATTGCATATAGGCGACCGTATTTTAGCAGTCAACCATATGAATATCACTAGCCTTCATCATGGTGACATTGTAAACCTCATCAAGGATTCTGGTTATTCTGTCACTTTGACTATTGGTGCTCCTTTAGGTAAATACTTGAGTGACTCACCTTTTGATTTTCTTTGTTATGAGTGGTGAATAATCTTTCTTTGTTTTGCAGATGATGCTTCTAGCACTGCATCAGTGTCTCACAGGGTGAGTTAAACTTGAGCTCATTTCCTATATAGCTTTAAATGTCCCTCATTTTGGGCCTCACTGTAGTTATGTTAGTCTGCAAAGAATTCTTCGTCAAACTGCAACTTTCTTTTTCTTTTTGACTCTGCAGGAGGAGGGTGGTGAGGACGAACAGTACCATGCTGTTGAATTGAACCGCGGCACTCGGGGCTTCGGCTTCAGCATCCGTGGCGGTCGAGAGTTTCAGAATATGCCGCTGTTTGTTCTTCAGATAGCGGAAAATGGTCCTGCGTCTTTAGACAACAGGCTGAAGGTATGCCTTTTGGACTTAGTCATCCTGCTCACTTAATCATGTGGTACAACTAAGATGTTTCTGTCTCTTTAAATCTTGCAGGTTGGGGACCAAATAATCGAAATCAATGCCATTAATACCAAAAACATGACTCATGCAGAAGCCATTGAGATCATTCGGAATGGAGGCCCATCTGTGCGGCTCTTGGTTAAAAGAGGGGGGCGAGTGCCACCTCCCCCAAATATAGGTGGGTGTCACGATACTTATTCAGAAGAAATGGTTGGGACCTTAATGGATTCGACTTGTAATCAACTAACCACTACTCTTGGCAACTCTATGAATGGTTCCATTGGCAACTCCCTTGACGACCCCTCGTTACATCCTCGCCACAGTCAGTGCAGTGACCTAATGCCTGAATCACTAACAGACCCTTTAAGTGACCCGCTAACAGCTCCTCTAGCTGTGCCGATCCTTAACGAAGCTAATGGTCATGTGCATGATCCTATGCTTGATATAATGCCATCTCAAGTTTGCTGAGGTGTTCAGAAAATTGATGTGATGAAGTCTGATGTTTATTTTGTATTTAGCTTCCTATTTTTCTGAAGTTTTCTGAGAATTGTATTCTTTATGTCAGTGACACCATCAATTGTTATTAATTGCACAAGTCACTACCCTGTATAGCATTTGCACAATTTAAGACTAAGATAATTTTTTGAAACTTTATTAATTTGGCACATCTGTAGTACTTGAATGACTGCATGCTCAATTGATGCTTGAAGTGGATTTTCCTCCTCTGCTTTCAGTTCTGCTTTGGTTCAGGGACATTTGGAAATTTTATGGTCAGTTAGTGGAAAGCAATCTATTTTGTGACCCCCTTGTTTAGCACCCTACTGGCCCAATCCCCCTCACTCCTGCTTGGTATGGGACCCATGCATGTTCAATTTGTGCATTCATTTAATTGTTGTAGTTGAGTCTGATTCTAGTGATGTGGGTTGTTGTGGGAAGTAAGGTAGCATTGAGGTGTATTGTTTGTGTGCAGACCCGTGCATGAGGCCGAGTTCTTCCCAAGCCCATGTGGGAGATGCTGGCTATTGGGATGCGTACCAGCAAAGCTGACATCTTTAAAAGAACAACTCTCAGGTCCCACCGCTTCGCCCTTCTGTCAACATTTTAAAACTCTGTGTATGGATTAGTTGGGGGTCTTGCGCTGTCTGCACTGTTTTAGTTGTTTAGGTTTGGTTTCAATCGCTAAGTTTTGTAACTGTACATGGTACATGCCATTGTAGTTTGATCTGGTCGTGATAGGCAGCTGTATCAGTGTGGCATTTTAATCAGGGAACCAGCTCAATCAACTTTGAATATTGTCAGTGTGTATTACTGCCTTGAACCCAAAGATGTTGCCTCACAGAGCTCAAGCCAAGATATCTGATTATCTTGAGGATAATGTTGGCTCATTTTCTGGAAGTAACTTGTGCATAAGACATATGCCAAGTTTTTTTTATCTTCAATTTTATTGTCAATGTAAGTTAAACCTGCTTTTCCAAATGCAGTGAATTCTTTCTTTTGAAGTGATTCAGGATAGATATGGTAACAGTTGTTTGTTGATTACATTCTCCGTCCACTGACCTCTATGCCCCATGAGTTATTGAATGGGTGTGACTAATTGACCTTTTTTTTCAAAATTAATTACATCCAGTGATATTTAAAAAAATTATATTGCTTAAAATTATATTGCTTCCACTATATTATCTTGCCAAGGCATTCTAGTGAAGCAGCTGTTAAGAATTTTATAAATTGAATATTGAACAATATTTTATTTGTTGCTATTGCTGTCATGTTGTTGTGCATGGTTTATTATTGCATTACTATTACGTAGTTTTTGGTTGTTACTTGAGTGCACGTGGTTTTTTTTTTATACTTACACGTAGTTGCTGCCAAACAAAAGACATGTTAAGACAACTGCATCTGAAACAAAAGACAGCCAAGTTCTTTGTTAAGGTGTTAATGCTGTCAGGAACTTTTCTCTTACAATTTGAAAAGTATGATAAGTAGTTGACACTGTATCCCTACACTAAATTAATATTGTTATTTTTGATTTACAATTGTGTTGAGTTTGGAGTATGAATGAAGACAGGCTCAAGGTTGACTCACATGCCATATGAACGCAGTAAGCCATGCTTGACAATTATTTGTACTGTGCTACAACATGCTGCATTTAATCAAGTGAACATGATTGTGATGTAAACAATAATGTATTTTCCAAGTGTTTAGTAGTAACATTTGAAATTTGCTGTAGCTTTGTTTGAAATTGCCTAGTGTGCCTTGTAATGAAAGGGAAAAATTGTGAAACTTTGGTAAGCCAAGATATCCGTCCTTTTAAATTAAGACTGTCAGTGACATTCATTCTGAATTTTTCATGTTAGTGTTCGAACAGAGTTTACATTTTGGTGTTTTGAATAACGACATCTTGTGTCTTTTTATCGTTTTGGCCAACATAACAATTGATAGAGAGAAAGACTGAATTGTGCGTTTTGTGGTGCACAAAGTCATGTGAGGCTTGGTTATAGTCCAGATTGAGCATACCTTCAAGTGAAGTAATTTTTGTCTTGATATTTTGGGTAAATTTTCACCCTAAAGAAATTTGTTGGATTTTTCTTACATTAATCTTAGAACTAGTTTCACTATTTTATAGCCGTTTTATTATCTTGACAATGGAACATTCTTGAACATAAAATTTGTTATTTTAATCAATTTTTCTTCTAAATGAAGTTGTTTGAGATTGTGGATAATTTATAGACGTTTTTATGAGAATATTCGCAAGCATGTTTTATATTTAATTATTTTATGCCACCTTTACTGTGGCTTGTACATTTGTTGTTTTTACATATGCAACAAAATTAATCATGTAGGCGAGTTATTTTTTATACCACACATGTTTATTGAATTTGTCAACCCTTTGTCCAATGGTTGTGTTCATATTTGAGCATTTCTACTTGTTATTATTGCTCATGTTTTATTCTATTGCAAGTAGAATTAAATGCATACTATCTGATGGTAGTACTTGGATATAAGGTAATTATATGTATATATGACTTAATCGTCCATACACTTTGATTAGGTTAGTAGTTCTTGATTTCCCCATTCCCCCCTTACCTCTTTTGATAAAGCAACAAGACAAGCCCAGTGTAGTCATTACATTTTGCCTTGCAAATGAGAATGAATACACGAGTGGCATTAGCCAAAGATTGCATGTGCCTAGTGTTCACAATGTGCTTCTATTTGTGAACACATGTTATGTATGAGTTATCACCTTCTGCTGTGTGTATAAAGAGGTAAAATTTCTCACATACTTTCCTTCATGTTTATAATGTAGAATGTGCAGATAACACTCAGTAAACGATGTGAGATAAGGACAAGTATTGATTTATATAGTGCATAATATGGAACCACACATACTGCCCTCTTTAAGTGATAAAATTGAGGCATAGATCTGAGGATTGAGATTACTATTATTTACTCATGTTAATTCTAGTGTGGACCTTGAATTGATCTTCCTGTTGCAGACATTATGTATCTGTGCATCCCTCGTAAATTAATTCAATATGAGGAGGTACTGTTAATTTGTGTGCCTTAGTCCTTCCCTTTCCTTGACTGCCTTTGTATTCAGTGAAAATTTATATTTTTCATGTTTGGTCCAAGATCTGATTCTTAACGCTCTCAACAGTGTTGTTTCCTGAAAGTTGTGTAAACTGCCGCCATGATATTTGGTGTTAGTACTGTATCAGTACTTGGAATAAATTATATGTGTTATGGTGAAAAGCAGTACTTTCATCAATATCTTGCTCCCAATTTCTCTGGAACATAAAACTTGTAAACACAATGTTATGAAAAAAAAAAAAGGAACAGTTTTAATACACTACATACACATGAAAATACAGGCAACAGTTGAGTTTTTTTTTTTACAAAGGTGCACACAAATTCATCAGTTCAAACCCATTTCCTGCACATAATGACCGAAGTTCTGCACGGCCTGCTTCAGTCTGTCCTCCAGGATGTTGAATCCAGCGCCGATCTATGTAGAAGTCTAATGAAGAATTCATCTCTGCAGTATCATATTTGTCTACCATGATGGGAATAAATGGGTCAATGTGTTCCCATCCCTAAAAATTATGTTTCTGTTAGATAAGAGTGATATGACAAACGCGCGATTTCAACTGAAGTAACGTAATACAGCATCTTACCTCTTTTCCTAACAGGTACAAAGGCAGATTACTCTCAGCCTTAAACATGTCATGATGTGCAAGCTGATCAACTGACAATATTACAACTCCATTGCACTAGAAAAACAAAATTATTGTCCAAATATAAAATGTGCATAAATTGATCAGATTTAAAAAATAAAATAAATAAAAAGCAAAACAAGATGGAACAAAAGAGGATATTTTCTTACCCAATCAAACTGAGTTATCTCCAAGAAAGGTAATGCCAAAGTGCATTTTGCTTCCAGTATTTTCCTTCTTTGAGTTTTCAAATTCGGAGCGAAGAGACCATTGAAACCATCTATTACTACCATAGTTTTAACCCTGTGATTTTTCAATGGACAAAAAAGTAGCATGAAATACAGCTTAATTATAATAAAGGTTTATTATGTTGACATGCAAATGTAAAATGACAAATATAGAATATAAATCTAGTTTTCAGGCATGTGTACTTACAATCCACTGTTTGAGAAACCTTTGATTTCTCTCAAAAGGGCTTCCACAACATCACAGGCGTACTTGGCACGGCCTATACCGAATTCTATCAGTGCATCAATGGGCTCCCCTTGTTCAATTATGTCTCTGGGGCCGTATTGATACGGTTTACTTGTTTTCAGCTGCAACATTAAATTTATGGAATGGTAACAGACACAGTTCTTAGAAAATAGAAATAAATCAAATACCGCAATTTACAAACATTTAAAGTTTTTAATAGATGCTGATTTTGAGTCCTAAACTGAACAAGCCACGCAGCCGCATCTATGGGAACATCCATCATCCCTGGCTTTGATTCAGATGGTGAAGCGTCTTTACATCGTCTCATGAATGTATTTACTGCACAAACCAGAAGCGACACACAAAACAAACTTTTAAAAAATTGTTAAATTTAAGAGAGATATGAGAGAAATGAAATTTTCAATGAGAACATACCCCATGGCACATGTACCAGCATAAAACCTGCACTGTAACCATAGTGAACAACATGAGCAAGGGTCATTGATTTACCATGGCCGGGTTTTCCATCTGCAAAGCTTGTTAAGGAAAAGTTCTATGATGAAATATAAACCGAATGGGAACTTCCTTTGGGTGAAAAGGATTATGGTGACAGATGGCAAGTTTAAAGGATACACAACACAATTCTGACAGCAGGCTTTGAAAAATCTACACTTTCGATGCAGTTTGTCACTTCAAGATATGGCTTCCTCACCATAATGGCAGTCTCTGTAAAGATGTGGCATAGCTTTTCATAGGCTTTTGGCAAACCACCGTACTGGAATAAAGTTTTACTTATATCTCCAGGCACTGTGTAGTATCTGGATAGATGACTTTCTTTATGTTTAGTCTACAAAAAAATAAAACAAAGTTCAACGTGAATCTTATGGGCAAAGATTTCATTAGCATCAGGGACTTCCCGGAATAATTTTCTTTGCTCACCGGATTACTTTCTTGGGTGCGGAAAGAAGCAACAATCTTGGGTTGTGCCGTTTTCTTATTTGATGCCTCACCTCCATCAGGGTTTGAAGTGTCTAGGGCTGCAGCAGTCCGAGCAGCTGATGATAGGACCCTCTCGGATGAGAGCAGGCGTTGCATGACCCCAACATGATGTGAGAAAAGTTCATTGTGTACTGGAACAGTGACAGTAAATGGTAAAAAGTCGCAACAGAAAATTCAGAACTTTTCAACTACAGAAACACTTAAATGAAGAAATCTTACAAAATAAATGAATATGTAAAATTGAAATTTAGTAATAGGATTCAAATTTATTTAAAACAATTCATAAATAGGAAATGTCTAACCGATGCAAAATAAATTTAATGACAGGCACAGAAATTTGGTTGACAGCTGAGACCAATGAAAGAAACAGCAATCTTTTCTCGTTTATTTAGTGACCATACCCTTTCCAGTGAGTTAGTAACAAGTAAAAACAGTAAAAGTAAGGGCAACACCTATGGGCAAGTGGACACCCATGTGGATCTAGCACGAAGTGTATGACAGCAAAGAGTGCGAGAGAACGCACGGCACTTGAATTACTTACAAATACGCAATGCCATCGTTAAATAACTTGCTGCTGACAAAATAAAGCAAAGTAATAACAAATTTTGGGTTGACTTGATTTCAAAAACATAACCCCATCTTCTTAAGAAACTGAGCCGAACAGACGACGCGAGTTCGAGATCAAACTTCGATATTCGAGTTGTGACGTCGATCTATCGGAAGGCGCCATTGCGCGGCAATTTTGAAAGGACACTTGCGGAGGTGACTATAACCGGTTTCAAAACGTTTCAAAAGAGGCTGGCATTCTGGCCGGGATTTTTGGTCCCTGCGTCAAAAATTTCTGCTGTAAGCGAGCCGACTAACTCTGACCGCACCTTGAACAGGGACGTAAAGTCAGCTCGCAGTGACCGAAAATCCCACTGAAACAAAGTTATCTGTGCGTCAGTGGAGTGTCTTGATGGCGATTGTTTGCGAAGCTCGGACCTCATTTTTCCACCACTATCTGGACTGACAGCGGTGGTGTGGTGGCACACTGTGGGTGTGGGTGCAGTGCGAAAGGCAAGGCGAAAGGGGTGGGGAACGGTCAAGTCAAGTCTGCAACCCCCTCCCCCTCCCCCACCCCGCCCGCCGCCGTGTTCGCCGCGCCGCCTCCCACTCCCCCCTCCCCCTCTCTCTTCTTCCTCTTCTTCAGTTGCGGCCCGGCTGCCCACGAAGTAGGTTCGTTCGCGTCCGCGCCGTCCGCGAGCCAGTCGGCGGCACCGGCTCGAAAACCAAGACCCGAGTGGTTGGTGTCCTTCCCTCCGGACGAGGCGACGCGACGCGACCGCCAGCGGGCGCAGAGGTTCGGTGTTCGGTTTGAGTCTAACAGTGCGGTGTCCAGTGGAGTGTCCAGTCCAGTCGGTGTCCGTGCGCTTTTCGCTCTTGGGATGCCTTAGCTGCAGCGCGATGGATGTTACCGATGTTGCCGGCGGCCGGCGGAGGACTCCGGGCGGCGCGAGGTGAGTGGCGCGTGGCGTGTCACCCTGGAGTCACTGGCGTGGGGAACGCCCCGCACGCCCCGGGAGTGCGAGAGAGACAGAGACACAGCGACGACGGCGCGGTTCGGGATGGGACCGGCAGGACCGGCGCGCCGCGGTGTCTTTCCTGGAAATGAAGAGAGGAGGACGGCGCGGGACATCCGGGAATCAATCCGCCAGTGTCTCCGTCGCGCCCCTTTAGCACGCCCCGCGAGTGCGACAAGGACAGCGCGACGAAACGACGACTCTCCGCAGTCAGTGCGCTGATCCGGCAGCAGCGGGAGGATCAGATCCTCTCTATCTGCAGGTGGCGATGGCCGGAGACCACTGGAGAGAAAGAAAGCTACTGTCGCCCTCTCTCTCTCGGAGGCTTGATGGTACCCCTGGCGGATAACCCCGGTGCGTGCAACTCTCCCTCTCTCCCCCCCTTCCCCTCCCCCTTTCCCGCATCACTCACTCGCTCACTCACACCTGACAGCAATTATTCTTTCCCTTCGACGCGCGGCGCAAATGCGGTGGCGGCAACGACAGCGAGAGAGAGAGAGAGAGAGAGAGAGAGAGAGAGAGAGAGAGAGAGAGAGAGAGAGAGAGAGAGAGAGAGAGAGAGAGTTTTTTAGTTTTTAAAATTATTTATTGGGGGGATTTTGTTTTTTTACAATTAGGGCCAGGACATGAGTTCAATTTTGTCACAAAATATGCATGCAGTATTATTGTTTTTTTTTTTAGTGTTTATGTTGTGCTGCAGTAGAGAGAGAGAGAGAGGCTGCTCGGGATCAGCCCACCTTTTCGCATCAGTTCGATTTCGAACAGTGCTCTCGTCTGTCAGTCGTCTCTCTCGCACTCATGGGCCTTCCCGCATTGGTGCGAGTGAGACAGCGACAAGGAGGCAGCCGGGCTCATTACCTGGGATCCTTGATCCGCATTCTGACTGCCTCTTTATGTCACGGATGCGCTGTCTCTCTCGCACGGTCGTCGCGTGCCGTAGGTGCGAGAGAGACGGAGCGCAGCCAGACGGCAGGCGATGCACCGCAACGAGGCGCTTGTCCCTGTCTCCGTCGCGCTCACGGGGCGTCCCGTACAGGTGCGAGAGAGACAGAGCGACGAGAACGACTCCGGCTGGCCGTCCCCGCGCCTACGCACAAGTTATCGCTGCAGCGGTCGCCTTCGGGTCGCCTTCGGACCGGCCGAGATCGCCGTCGTCGCGTTCTGAACGCCTCCGCGCGCGCCGCGCACCGCCCTCGAACCGCCGCGCACTGCGCTCTCGGTCACCTGCAGATCGCACGCACAGCCGCACACACACACACACACGCACACACACACACGCACGCGCCTCCTCCACGGGCGCCAGTCCAGCATCGCGCAGGCGCGCGTGCAGTTTAGCCGTCGCTGAACGCGACCAGGTCGCCGCGGACGCCGCCGGGGGCATCCATGTGAATTACTTCACATGAGAGAGAGAGAGACAGACGGAGGGAGAGAGAGATTACCACCGGTACTCCAGTCTCTGCTTAGGAGACGGGGAAGGGGGACAGATTTACCTCACGAACTTCATGAATAGAGTTCCAGGGGGTGGGCAAAAGACAGGGGGGGGGGGGTAGTGGGCGACACCTTTCAGGCCTCATGGACGCCCCGCAGTGCAGTGGACAGGGGTGGACAGTGGGCCTCGCTGTCACATCGCCGGTGTATTAGGGTCAGTCGCTCTGTCTCTCTCGCACCCTCGCGGGACGGCCCGGGAGTGCGACAGAGACAGAGCTAGCGATCCCTGCGCAGTCTGGTGTGGCAGAGACGAGGTTAGGCCGCGCAGACGACACTTTAAAACCTTAAACTATTTAAAAGTCGAACGAAAATCTAGTCTCCAGTCTCTGCTCGTGGATAGACCAGAGCGACGGCGTCCGAATTAAGCTTCTAATTAGCTTCGCTGGCAGCACTGCGCTTTCGGGTGCAGCCCCAACCTCCACGTGCATGCTAATGCCAAACGCCGTCAGCGGCAGTGGCGTTTGGGCGGACAGCTCTGTCTCTGTCGCACTCGCGGGGCGTTGCGGAGGGGTGCGAGAGAGACAGCGCGACGCGACGGTACGCGAGGGCACCGGTCCCTGGGGCTTCCGGGGACCCTATGCGGACGCGGGGAGGAAATCCTTACTTAGAGCCCTGCTTGGCGTCCTGCTGGGCGTCCTGTGTGAACTGTTTGGGAAGCGGCGCCCCGCACAGTGGGCCAGAAGACCGGTGGAGGCGGACAAAAGCCCAGACGCGTTTTGAGCTCCAGAGTCGCTAAGCAGGCCTCGAACCGAGCGTGTGATCCCACCACTGGATTTCTCGTTCGGAGAGCAGTCCATTGGTGGGGTCACACGTTCGGTTCGAGTCCCACTTAGCGACTCTGGAGCTCAAAACGCGTCCAGAGTTTAGTCCGCCTCCACCGGTCTTCTGGCCCACTGTGTCTCCTCGCCCCGCGGACGGATTGACATTGTTCTGGGGCAGAAGCAGCGCGTGGAAGCTCCCAATGCCATGTCGGCCGCGTTACGCTGATGGACGTCACCGCAGCGGGGCGGGGTGGGGCGGGGCGGGGCGGGGCGGGGCACGTGCACTCCGTCTCACACAACAGTAGAGCGCCCCGCCGTGAGAAAAGCCCTTGGGAAGACAAGACGTCCGCGTCTTCCTCTGCTCCCCGAATGGCCCGAATGGGAGCAGTGCATCCATGAGCGTTCCCGCCCCGCCTTGACTCCGCCGTCCCGAAAAGCTGAAAGGCCACGAGGGCGCTAATGCTGCAGGCGGGGACTGTGGACCGGCTCGGGGTTCGAATACCATCCTTTCCTTGCTTTGTCGAGTGCTCGGATAAAGAAGCACTGTGGAAAGACTGGGCCGGCGGTATGTGCGTCGATTATGACAAGTTTCCTTTTCCAGCCAGTGTGGCTGCGGTCCGCTCCGTCGTCTTCGTCGCTCGCGAGCCTTGTGTTTTGGGAGGGAGAGAGAGGCAAGTCGCTTCGGAATCGGCCCACGGCAGGGTAATCGGGTGGGACAGACGAGTCGAAATGGCATCAGGGTCGCGCGGGTATCCATCTGCGGTCGTGTGGCGGCTAGCCCGCCTGGCCCTGCCCTGCCCTGCCCTGCCCGCTCCGGCCGGGGCGACAGGTGCGGTGAGGTGTGTCAGGTGGCGGAGGGGGAGGGGGGGTGCCCCCACGGGACCACCTGGTGGTCATGTACCCTCGCGTTTTGTTTCCCAGTGACGCAACTCTAATAATCGTGGCCCTGCATGCTCGTTCGCGCCGCACTCCGGCCGACTCCAGGTTTGGCTTGCCAGCCGCACATTGCCCGGACGCGTTTTGAGCTCCAGAGTCGCTAAATGGGACTCGAACCGAACGTGTGACCCCACCAATGGATTGCTCTCCGAACGAGGAATCCATTGGTGGGGTCACACGTTCGGTTTAAGTCCCATTTAGCGACTCGGAGCTCAAAACGCGTCAGGACTTTTGGCCGCCTCCACCGGTCTTCTGGCCCACTGTGGAACCTCGCAACCCGCATCGCCGCGGGTGGGTGCACTGTGCACCTCCTCGCGCCACTCGCGGGGTCGCCTCGTCCGCTCCACGCGCGCGGCTTGGCGGCTCCGGGTGCAACGCCCTGGGCCCTTGCTGCCTGCACTGTGCCTGCACTGCTAGCAGCTCGTCGAAGCCTCCTTGGTCGCTCCGTCTCTCTCGCACCCCTGCGCGACGCCCCGCGAGTGCGAGAGAGACGGAGCGACGAAAAGCACTGGCGTTGCCTTGCCTGCCTTGCCTGCAGGCGCCACTCCTTTGTTTTAGCAGACGACAGCCGGTTGACGCGGCGAGGCCCGGACGCAGCGTTTCCGTGTTTGCCCGACTATCAGTGGGGCATCGCACACACGCACACACACACGCGCACGCACACCAACACACACGCACGCACACTGTTGTGGCATATTGAAATATTATCCTCTCGGCGGCTCCCGAAAAGAAATTATGCGATAGGGCGATACGGCCTGCAGGCCTGCAGGCGGATTCCGAAGGGGTCCGTCCCTCTCGCACCTACACTGAGTGTGGGAGAAAGGGAGAGAGAGAGACCTTCGGCTGGACTGGAGCGTCTCCCCTGCCCAGGGTGTGGGAGCTTCCTCCCCCGATGTTGGCTGTGATGCCAACCCCTACACTTCCGGTTATGCTGTCTGTCTGTCTGTCTGTCTGTCTGCCTGCCTGCCTGTCTGTCTGTCTGTCTGTCTGTCAGCCTGTCTGTCTGTCTGTCTGTCTGTCTGCCTGCCTGTCTGTCTGTCTGTCTGTCTGTCTGTCCCTGCCTGTCCGTCTGTCTGTCTGTCTGTCTGTCTGTCTGTCTCTGTCTGTCTGTCTGTCTGTCTGTCTGTCTGTCTGTCTGTCTGTCCGTCCGCCTGTCGCCGAATGCAGGCGCTGCGTTTTGTGAAGCGAGCCGGTCGGCCCGAGGAAGAGCATTGGAAGAGCGGCGTGGAGAGAAAAAGGGGCGAAACAATGAAAGGGCCCAAAGTACAAAAGCTGGTGCCCCGGGGCCCTTCGCTTGCTTCGCTTGCCATTGGCAGGCAGGGCCGCCAGGGCCGCCAGGGCCGCACGCAAAGGACTAAAAGGACTGCAGGCGGAAGGTGGAAGGTGCAGACGGGGACCGCCCACAAACCGCCTCACTGTGGGTTTGCCAGAAGACCGGCGCAGGCGGACAAAACTCCAAACGCGTTTTGAGCTCCAGAGTCGCTAAATGGGACTCGAACCGAGCGAGTGACCCCACCAATGGATTGCTCTCCGAACGAGGAATCCATTGGTGGGGTCACACGTTCGGTTTGAGGCCTGTTTAGCGACTCTGGATCTCGAAGCGCGTCCGGGAGTTTGGCCGCCTGCGCCGGTCTTCTGGCCCACTGTGCGGCCGGGACGCGCGGCGGCGGCGCCGTTCCCCATTTGGGTCTTGCATATTCACCGGAACGACCCGGACTAACGGCAGCCCTCGGCATTTAGAGTCGAAATCAT